TGGTGGCTTTGATGAGAGCATAGATGGGGAACTGAAGCTGATGACGGCTTCCCGTTGAATGTTGAAAATACTCTCAAAAAAAAAAAGAAAAAAAAAAGCATAAATTCTTAAGAATCTTTAATGTGGTAATAAAACTGTCCTGTGGGGGAAAATCCCCAGATCAGACAGAAGTGTTTATATGTCTTACAGCCTGTATTTTAACACTTACACCTTAATATTTGATGGATTATTACAAAAACTCTTCATCATTCACTTATCAACATTTAAATGATGATGACTTTTTGATGACCTTGTTTCCTTCTGATAGCTTATTAGACAGTGTGAAACTTGTGACCCTTTCTTAATGACTTGTGAACACAGATCTGAACATTTATTATTGACTCACCAGCCAGAGATTTCTCATAACATGGCAGCCTAATAGCTTTTTTAAATCATTTATTAATCAATTAAATGCAATCACTTGCAACCAAAAACACGTAGAGTCACACATGGAGCTGGCAGGAATGATTCCATTTAACAATAATCCCATATTCAGATTAAACAGGGTTTTTACTCCCTCTCTGAATCACTTTACTGAATGTGAGATGAGGGCTGCAACCAGACTGATGGGACTCAGCAGTCAGATACAGCTGCTGCTCTCCTCTTTGACCATCTGTGGATAAAAGCGTCACTAACTACACCTGAACATTTACTGAAGTAATAAGAAAAGTTATTAATGTACGAGTAATGTGAGTATGCTGGGTTTATACCATATCCATGACAGAAACAGGAGCGCATCATCTCCATTCAGTCTTCAGTGGGTTAAAGAGACTGGTTGCCATGGGCACGGACGCACAGACCGAGTACATCAGTGGCTGAAAAATAATCGATGACTGATCACAAAGTCGAATAACTTACAGAAACCTACGAACCGTTTTTGTCAAGTTGTTTCAGAGCGATCCAGGCTTTTGATGCACGCGGTGATTTGTCAAAACTGACGTCAGACATCTTCATCATCCCAACAGCAGGACGAGACACCAGAGTAGCCTAACTGCGACATCCGGTAAGGGGCTTTCAAAATAAAATAATCTCTGCACTCCAGTGTGACAGTAATGGAGTGTAAAGCTGACACTGCAGTTTAGGTGACCTTCTGTATATCTGTACAGGCCATAATGCTGGGGTTGGCAGGAGGAGTGACATCTTTAAATAGGCTGTACCTATGATAGTCAGTAAGTATGCATATTAAAAAACACTTGATTTGTGAGAGTGCTGTTACACTGTCCCACAATGCAATGCACAGACAGAGCTGTTTGCAGCTGGAAACATTTTGAAGAGTGAAGCAGTTCCAGGAAGATCTTTGAAAACAATAATAAAAAAGTATTAAAATATTTAAAAAAACAACAAAAGAAAACAACTTTTTTTCTTGGCAGTAACATTACAAGGTCTCAGTTTTGTATACATCAGTGCACAGATTTCATCATTTCCCTATCAAAACAAATGGTAGAGTGTATGATTTATTGTAAACTTAACTGCAAAATCAGAATACTATGACAACACAGGCTATAATTAGTAAGTAGTATGCAAGCAGCAACACAGAAATGCCAAATTCTTTGATGGGATCCAGAAGCCAGACCCCCCTATTAACTTTAATACTTTATATATACTTTACAGCAGAAATAAACATGTTTACAGCCTGGTACCAAAATCAGTTTTGTTCTCTGTAACTAATTTACCCCTTCATGACAACTGTACTTGGTTGAATATTTTTTTCTAACTCACTAGTTTCTATTTTATTAAGGCTTAAAGTTAAGCGTAATTAAGGGCAGGCTGCTTTGAGTGACATTGGCTTCTCAGTCCAAATCCATCCCTCGCTCCTCACAGTGGTCACTTCAGGCTCCAAAAACACAAGATTGCAACAGTAGAGATGCTGAACTTGAAGCTTCAGAACAGGAGTCCACAAACCAATATGTAACTGGGCAGGAGCAATTCTTTTTAATCTTTCTATACTTCAGTAACATTTTCAAAATACCACTTTCACTTGTAATGGAGAACAGTATTTTACCTGTGCTGTATACACTATTTTAGATTACTTCCTCCACTAATGGTGAAATATAAGATTATCTTTGAGTGTATGACATGGGTGTGATCATAGACCGGAACCGGGGGGCCAGGGGGGCCATGGTCCGGGTAACTTTTGTACTCTGACATAGAGGGCTGCATTGGGATTGGGTCCCGCCGCGTCCTGCGGGTCCCCAATAAACAGTATAAGAAGAAGAAAAAGAAGAAGATGTAGCCTAGCGACAGGATGTCAACACAGGAACTTGGTGCACATGCATGAGCGTTTCCACTCCATATTTATTCATAAATGGACGAATATGCCCTGAACCAGCTTTCATACCAATTTGCCACTTGCTCCACCTGTCTGTCTGTCTGTCTGTCTGTCAGCTCCATCTGTCATGAGACAAACATGAAAGAAGACGTGCAGTTTATTGTGTTTCACCAGCCACGAGCTGTCATGACGCGCGACTATTACGCACGTCTGCGCGCTCTTTATAACTCACTGTGTGAACCTATGTTGCACAACAAAGATTTGGCCCCTCATAATTTTTAACCGTCCCTTCAGTTACTTAATCCTGGCGCCGGGCTTGCCTTAACCTCAATCACTGCGTGATTATATAAAGGTAGAAAAATAAATAAATACAGAGGAGGAGAATAGAATATGAAACAGCCTTTATTTCATTAAAAACTAAATGAAAACAACGAAATGGGAGCGCTATTCCTGACCAGTGTGTCAAAAGACATGCAGACCAGAGAAACGAAACAAACAACCCCATGAATCTCTTTATTAATAGCCTATAAAATGACGTGTTTTCTACTGCGGGAAGGGAGAAGACACAAAATCAATGCATCTCTATTATTGTGCGGGCATAAATTCTCAGAGTTTTGCGGGAGCGGGCGGGAGTGGACATACACATTGCGGTTGCTGGCGGTAATGGTCAGAAATTCAGCGTTCTGGTTACTTTTCAGTAACTGCGCAGCTGCGCTTGTTTTGTTGTTGTTGTTGTTGTTGTTGTTGTGTGTGTGTGTGTGTGTGTGTGTGTGTGTATGTGTGTGTGCGCGCGCGGCTCTGCACATCAGTCTGATATGAGTGCTGACTTGTGATGATAATGAATATGATGTTGATTTAGATTCANGGTTTAGATCAAAGAATATTCATGTGTTAGAATGGCCCAGTCAAAGTCCAGACCTAAATCCGATTGAGCATCTGTGGCAAGACTTGAAAATTGCTGTTCACAGACGCTCTCCATCCAATCTGGCTGAGCTTGAGCTATTTTGCAAAGAAGAATGGGCAAAAATTTCAGTGTCTAGATGTGCAAAGCTGGTAGAGACATACCCCAAAAGACTTGCAGCTGCAACGACTTGCAGCGAAAGGTGGCTCTACAAAGTATTGACGCAAGGGGGCTGAATACAAATGCACACCACATTTTTCAGATTTTTATTTGCTTAAAAGTTTTAAACTATGTATCATTTCCGTTCCACTTTACAATTATGTGCTACTTTGTGTTGGTTGATCACATAAAATCTCAATAAAAAACATTTAAGTTTGTGGTTGTAAGGTGGCAAAACGTGAAAAAGTTCAAGGGGTATGAATACTTTTTCAAGGCACTGTAGCTACTGTAGATGTGACTGTGTGGTGTCGGAATAAAAAAAAGTGCTCCGCAACGTTATTTAATACATCAGTAATATTGTCTGTTTCAATGCATATGCCCCCCCACCCCCTCCGCGTGACTTGAAATGCAAGTGGCAATGCCTTACAAAGCTGAGCAGAGTCATTTCAGTTGGTTTCATTTTGTCGAAGGAAGGAGTGAGACCAATTACAAACTTGTCCCATCACTACAATATATGCAGGGTTTCTATACTTGCCCACTCCAGGTCCCACCTTTTACTCCCCTGTCACCAGATGTGAAAGAAACTCGGTTTGCACATTTAGTGCAGGATGTCTCTAAGGTACAGTGTTGCCTCTGGGTAACATACCCATTTTTGGCTGTTTACACTCACACAATACACCCTCAATTATGTTGCAATACTTTAAAAAAGACCCAGGACCTAAGGAAAACCAACAACACTGTTTATATGGTCACATGACTTTCTGAAGGCCATGTTAAGTCCCTTTTTGGGGGCCTTCCACATTTGGTTCAGCTCCATCAACTCTCAACACAAAAATGGTCTGGAAACGTTTTCTGTCATTTTACAGTCCAGAAATTGCACAATAACAGATAAGTAAAGTTTAATTTTTAACTAGCCTATTTAATGTACTTTATTTGATAAATAATTAATAGTAAATTGTTAAAATGCACAAGTTGCCTTGAAGCAGTATCGTACCATTATGAAATACCCACCATGCCTTTTTTTGGTATTGTGTATTAGGTTTATATACTGCTCAAAAGTGTAAAAGTCATCACCATTTTCTTTTTATCTCTGCAGATAAACCTAGATACACTTAATAATGTCAGTGGTAATACAGTCCAGGCTGTTACACTGTATAGTCTACTATAACCATGCACTTTGTGAGTTCTCTCAGCAGAGCAGACTGTATGTTTATATTTTACTCACATTTTTCTTTACAGAATACAGAATAAATGCAATATCATTCTGTGACTCTTCAAAGAAGGAGAGGGTAAGAATAGGATTCCCAGTTGATATTAGTGAGGATAAATCAGAATTCATTAGTTTGGAAGACAACAAGCTGCTATCAACCCCACAGCAACACAACTAATGTTGGTGACATAGTCTGTCAGCAATAACACACCAGGACACTGAAAACAGAGCACATGATTGCCAGTTATTGGGCCAAGTTTAGATGATATACACGTTATAGAAACAGCCATGGAAATATATATTTAGAAAGCCACAATCTTTGCTTAATTTTGAAATATGTGTGTATATATGTACATATACTTATAGCCTATACATCTGGTACGGACATACCAGGGAAGGGTTGAAAGAGGTATTAGTGACACCTTGTGTGTGGACAAGGAACTGCACCCTTTGTTTTGGAGGAAGGACGTGAACAAACCGGAGAAACTTGAAGTCTGCTCGAGAAGGAGCAGAAGTTTAGATCCAGATGGCAGCACAGGAGGAATTCTTCGCAGGTAAACAACATGATTTTAAGTGCTGTTAACAGTATCTGCTGTGTTTGTGTGCGCGTGTGTTGGACATTAAGCATCCGGAATGTCGCGAACAATGAAGGCCTTGTTATGCAAAAGTTGAGTCCACATCATTTTGCACAGAGCAGATGACACTGCAGGCTGTATGCAGGCGATGACATGCATATACGCTTTGTACTGTGAAATAGTTGATAGTGTGAAAACTATTTTTTCAGCGTGCTCTGACACATACCAAGATCACTTTTATTGCATGTGTTCACTTGACTAAAGGAGATCAACATGTGTCTGTTGTATTGAATGTTGCACAACATTTATGGTGCACACAGGCATTCCTAAGATCCCATACAGACCCGATGTTGGGCCGAGTGAGGTCATGTGCTTCAAAGACTACAATGCAGAGGAAGTAGGTGACACACACACACACACACACACACACACACACACACACACACACACACACACTACAGTGATGTTCATTATGATACATACTGCATACCTGATGTGTTCCTCTGTGCAGGTGCTGATGGGGAGGAAGATGGAGGACTGGCTGAGGTTCTCCGTTTGCTACTGGCACTCCTTCTGTGGCACTGGTACTGTAGCCAACAGACCAACACATATTAGTCATCAGTCTGTAATATGGGGATCAAGCATGACCTAATGAACAGGCTCTTGTAAACATACATTAACAAACACTGTCATTCTATTGTCTTAGGTGTTGTTATAGTTTCTACATCTTTTTAGATTCTTATTTTAAATAAACATGTCTCTAAACAAGACCAACAGATATTATGTTCCTTTTTAGGAGCTGATCCTTTTGGGTTTCAGACCCTCCACCGACCCTGGAATGAAGGGACTCCTATGGAAGCAGCCAAGAAGCGACTCCGGGCTGCTTTTGAGTTTTTCACTAAGCTTGGTGTGAGGGGACTTACCTTAATTTTACAATGAAAGTCACAGTTACACATAGTTGATTTAATGTTATAGTGTGTCTGCATTGTGACCTCTGCTTGTTTTCACAGGTAAAATATTACACATTTCATGACAGGTAATTGAAATTTTAAATTTTTTGAAAGGATTCAACTCATCTTTTTTATTGTATTTATTCTCTGGGAATGTATAAATAAACAATTTTTACTTTACATGTAGGTGAAAAATAGAATTCTGTCAGTGTTCTTTGTTCAGGAAGTTTTTTACTGGGAGCCAAATTACAGGTTCTACAGTATTCTGAACAGTATCCATCCTCTGTTTTCTACAGGGATATGGCACCTGAGGGCTCCACCCTGGAGGAGTCCAACAGGAATCTGGATGAAATAACAGACCTGGCTCTCCAGCTGCAGAACCAGACCGGAATCAAGGTGCTGTGGGTGACCTGCAACCTCTTTGCACACCCAAGGTCAGTGTTTTATTCTGACAAACTGATTGGTGCATCCTGAGGGTTAGCAGGGAAAGATGTTCCTGCTCAATTAGGCTGCAAACATAAAAAGCATCTTGATAAATATATTTATTCATGTGACAGGTACATGAACGGTGCAGCCACCAACCCTGACTGTCACGTTCTGGCCTACGCTGGCGCTCAGGTTAAGAAGGGGCTTGATATTGCCAAGAAGCTGGGTGCTGAAAATTTTGGTATGACTGACTTGATGGTATCACTGTGTCTAAAATATTGATATGCTCCTTTAATGCAGCAGTTTTGCTACATCATTGTATATTTGTCTCCTCAGTGTTTTGGGGAGGAAGGGAAGGTTTCCTCTCCATCCACAATACTGATGTTGCTGCTGAACTGAAGCACATGGCCAATTTCTTCAAAATGGCTGTCAGTAAGTGAGCACATATGGGATTGTTCCCAGAGTTTTGGTCAGGATGTGTCACACTTTCAGTTTCATATATATGTATATTTGTCACCAGGGTACAAAGAGAAGATTGGGTTGAAGTGTCAGTTTCTTATTGAACCCAAGCCTAAGGAGCCCTGCAAACACCAGTATGACTATGGTAAGGATTGCCTTAACAAATGTGATTTGAAATCTTACAGTCTTAATGATGCATTTCATGTCACTTTCTCCTATAGATGCCATGAGTGTTATAGGATTCCTTAAGCATTATGGTCTGGAGAATCACTTTAAGTTGAACATTGAGCCCAACCACACCACCCTGGCAGGACACTCCTACGAACATGATGTTGTCATGGCATCTGCGTGAGACATTTTACTTGATATCGACGAACACTCTTGTAAAAATGTTGCTGCAGCACAATGTTTGCGGCATCTTTACCACAACAACCATTTTACATTGTGTATCATCTTTGCTTGCTGGTGGACAGGTTTGGCATGCTGGGTTCAGTTGACTCAAACACTGGCTCTCCTGACCTGGGGTGGGACACAGACCAGTTCCCCATGGACATCAGGAACACCACCTTGGTCATGAAGGTGAACTTAGTTCTTTAATTTGTAACAGAAGTTTATTGACAATGATGTTTGTGAAGGTGACATTGACTATGTTTACATGCACACAATATCCTGGTCTGTGCCCTTATTCCAAAAGAGATAATATTCCCAGCAAGGCGTTTATGTGCCTAATAGAGAAAATGAATAATCCACTAATATTCCTGTTTGCAGGTGTTGATGCCCCGACATGTTGTTTATCATATCAAAATATAAAAGAGGGGAACATCTGGATTCACTTGTGCCATTTTGCTTCTTAGTGTCGAAGAAAGATTTTTTCACTGTATCCTCATACAACAGTTTGTATGGTATCCAATGAAAATGCACACACAATGGTGCGTTTGATATCCTATGAATTTGCGCCCCATGAATGACGTTACGTACCATAAGGTTAAATTACACTCTTAACACAAAGTTAAAGAGGTTGGGTTTAGGCAAGTAAAGTTACTGTGGTTATATTTAGAGAAAGACACATGTTGACAACGTGCCTGAAAATGACTTAAGTTCACAATGTTCTGAACACTGGTCTCCAGGGAGAGAGTCCCGAGGGAAAGTCTTGTTTTGTGATCCCAGCCTGCCTCTGTACGAGACCGCTTCCCTTTTTATTCTTTACTCCCATCAGTGCATTGGCCTCATGTTTACAGCCCTCTGAAATACGTGGGTTATGCACAAATTAGTGAGTCATCATAACGTGGGATATGTACAAATTTTGGTGCATTACTTTTTGTAGGAGAATTAACAAAGAGTGCATGAGAACAGCCTGACTTGTTCGACCATGAGACCACAGCCAACCTCTTTCCCAGCTGGCCACCAGCGTCATTAGACATTGATATTTTGTTGAATATAGGTTGTGATGTCGGGTGACCAAAATTCAATGTCAGGACAACGTCTAATGCCAACATCAATTTGACGTAGAATACTGACGACGGATGATGTTGATATTTTGTTGGTTTTAAGTGGTGTTGTTAAGTAACCAAAATCCAACGTCTTCCAGACGTCTAATGTCAACATCTAGTCGCGAGGTAAGGAAACCAAATCCAGTGTCTGCAAAATGTATTAATTTTAATGTCAACACAATGTGAAATTTTAATGTCAGTAGAAATTTTAAATCAGTCTTGGAGAAGATGGGTTTGCACATCAGCTTTCCTTCGTCGGTTAGGGTTAGGGTTATCGAAACCAAGATTTACAGCTGCCGACGTGAGACTTCCAACTTCTTTCTAATGTCGTATTAACATCCAGCTGGATTCATTCCTTCAACCACCCTCTTGAAAAGGTTGCTGTTGCAATATTTGCACGTATCCAAAAACCTGTTGATATCCAAGTTGTTCCAACGTAGGTGTGTTTCTCCTTCTGACCAGAAATGTGGGCTTTTCTTTTGGGTATGCATCTTTACCCCAGCCTTGCAAATTCTTGGTGAGTTGGTTTGTGTACAATGCATCCATGACAACGCACAGAGCTGACCATGAACAGGTAAGAGACTGTGTGTCGCAAACTGTGCTAAAACCCCCCAGTGAGACATATATCAGCAATTCCCCACATGTCCAAATAGAAACAAGGCCTAATTCAGAATATTCAAACAGAATATGCTTTTACATGACCCGTATCAACTCAGAATATTGTCATATTCTGAATAATAGTGGAATAATAGTGTGCATGTAAATGTAGTCAGTGTCTGAACACTGTTGGATAAGGGTACAAGATAGCTATAATTGCTAATAAACCTACCTAGCAGTATTGATTCATTTTTTTTTGGCCACTCTGGGAACAAGCTATGAAAGCAACATCATTACCACTGCATAAAACTGATATGGTGAATGTGTTAGCAAACACTTTACTATTTATGCATCCAGCACACAGAGCAGTGTAGCATTCATGTGGAGTTGTGTTTCTGTCCACATGGCAAATGTTAGTATTAACTCTCTGTTTGGCTCTGTTTTGGTCTCCACCAGCTCGTAAGAAAAATATGTGCATATCAGCAGCTAACATTATATGCTCCGCTAAGTTCTCCAGCTAGCCGCTAACTTTTTCTTTCTGCTGTCTTGTGCTGAAAAGGTGAGGTACAGTAAAATGGGTTGGTCTGAACTTTTTTGTTTAAACCAGCTGTCTTTTGTGTCAGGGAAAATTTAACAGGGAAGTTGCTGGCTGGAAAACCAAAAATATAAACATAAAATAGCTTAAAAGCTCTGTAGAGCTGAAGAAAAGAATCTCTGATATTCTTTGGTGTGTTCATCATCAGGAGGGGACCCTGTTTACAATACACATTGTAATTTGATTTGTTAATACAAAAATATTGATTAGAGTAGCTTTAATGTGAATATAATTGGCCATTGCACACTGACTTACAAATAATCACACAGATTACCATCTTTTATAAAAATAAACAAATAAATATAAATTAGAAGAGAGATTTGAAATGACTTCTTTAGCTCACTGTGCTGTACAAGATGACTGTAGATCAGGACAGTGATACAGGGACCTAGTTATTCTTATTCTCATAGTTAGTGTTTAACATTTTCCAGACCATCATTGAACAAGGTGGCCTGCAGCCAGGAGGCCTGAACTTTGATGCCAAGGTGCGCAGGGAGTCCACAGACCTGGAGGACCTGTTCATCGCTCACATCGGAGCCATGGACGCCTTTGCAAGAGGGCTCAGAAATGCTGTTCGCATTATTGAGGACGGGATCATGACTGGTATGGTGAAGGTATGTGTGCAGCTAATGTAAATCACTGTTAAACTGAGCTAGTTTTACAGACACAGTATTATTAGGAACCATCCTACATTGTGTCTGGTGTCTGACTGGTTATGTGTGATTCAAACAGGAGCGATACTCGAGCTTCAGTCATGGCATCGGACAGAAAGTGGATGATGGTTGTGCCTCTTTGGAGGAAATGGAGGTAAGACTATTAGAAACTTGTTTATTTATCCAATGATACTTTTGCACAACCATCTCTTTTGTCCTATAGCTTCTCTCTATAATTCTGCCTTTATAATTAGTTTAGGTTTATTAACCTAACTTAACCTACATTTCAACCTGCTGAAACTATAACCAGCAGTACAGTGGAAACCTCTTATAATGATCACATCTATCCAGGTCATATCTATCACTGTGAGAAGATGATTACTATAACAGATTTTTTTGTTTATTGTCATCTGTGATCTCTCATGCAGATTACCATCTAATTGACATTTGTATATTTATTACATGAATATAAAGTAATGAAGCAGACAGATATACAATTTACTGACTTGAATAGTTTCCAAATACAGTACAGCTGTTGGGCTTCCTTGTGACCGGCATTATCAATCCATTATGAGAGTGGCTTCAACCACAGGTGCTTTCATTGTGCGCATTTGTTTTCTGTCTTAATCAGCAGCCATTACTGTTTCTCATTGTTTAAGTAGATCACACAAGGTAGCCTGAGGATCCCAAGTTTTACTGCTGCATTTTGTTGGCTCGTTTGTCATTAGCTTTGAGGAGACTACATTTCTGATGAGGGAAATTTACTTTCTTTGTCCTGCATGCTCTTAATTTTTTTTTATAATTAGTTTGTAGATTTTCAAAATTTTGACACAAACAACACAAATACAAGTCACCTGCCCCCCACCCTCAGAAATGAACAGTACAAAAAAAAAACCTCTTATAGGTAGTACGACCAGCATAAGTACGTGTACACAAATGTTGTTTGTCCAACCCATTACAAACATCTATACATACAGGCAAACACTTTAGGCTATTCTGGATACATAGGGCATGAATGGTTGCCATGTTTTATCAATGATTACAGAGCCGAGGGAAACACTGTATCTAACTCTCACCATGTATAACAAGTTGGTGATTTCTGCCAACCAGGTCTTAAAAGAAGGCAAATCCTCAGTTTTCCAAAGAGTTAAAAGATTTGTTTTTGCCAAAACTGTGCTGCATGCACATGATTTAAATCCTTTAAATTTTCTCTCATATATTTTCACGTATGAAAAGTCACACAATTTACATAGTAAGAGGACTACTTGATTACTATCAGCCAATTATTTAACAGCAGTAGGAATAATTCTGGCCCAAGCTTCTTGATCACTATAAGTGGTTTCCACTGTATTTGTGAGTATTGCTTTTAGGCCAGTCAGTGGGGTGTTTGCATTTTAGACTTTTCTCTGTGTGTTCGTTCAGGAGGTTACCAGTGTGTATATTGCCTCAATTATAAAGTGAGTAGACATCAATAGTAAGAAGAGATGATGGTCTCAAATATATATGGGTATGTGTTTTGTTTTCTCAGGCCTACATCAAGCAGAACGGCGAGCCCAAAGTCACATCAGGGAAGCAAGAAAAGTATGAATCCATCTTTAATCACTACATATAATAAAAGCATGCTGTAGGACATGGTAACCTTTGACCTTAGAGAGAAGCTGCTTCAGTCATTGCGACGGACCACAAATAGAGTGAACATATTATTAATCCCATGAAGAACTGAGTTTATTTGCAGTTTCACTAACTAAAAAGTACAAATACAGATGCTGAACACTGCTGAAATATTAAAGTGTCTGTCTGGAATCTGTGTATCGGTATGTATTTGTGGCGCTGTTGACCTATCATCTGTCATCTGATGCACTGAGAGGCTATATTCACATTAGGTGATGATTGTTGATGTTCACTGTGCAATAAAAACCCAATTTTCACAATGCAGTTGATGAGTCATCGTGTTTATCTTGAAGCCTAAATCCTTCACAGTACACCTTCAAATGTGGGCTTCAAAATCTAACAATTTATTCTGCGGTCTTTTATATTTGGATACATGTGCAAATTAGTTTCTCAATTTCCCAAATTCTGTTTATTGTTTACTTTAAATATAGAAGAAAATGTAAAGGAGGTTTTAACAGGTTCTTGACCCTTGTTATGGCTTATTTTTATTGCTGTTCTTCAGAAAATCCTGTGTGTGTATATATATATGGTCTCTTTGCCTTGTTTCACATGTTACAAGCACTGACTAGTTATTTAATGCACACAACACTACACATTAATAAATGCTAAAATCTAGATTTCTGCGATGTATCAAGATTTTCTCCATATTAACAACAACAACAAGCTGTTACCATGGCAATTGCTTGCTATCTTGAGATGGAGCAAGAGAGCAGCTGTGATATTTACCAGGCAGACTGAAGGATGGATCAGGTTTACAGCACAGAGTGACTTCTCCTGTCAACCATGAACGATCTTTGCAGCAGGTCCCCCTCTCATTTAGCCTCTGTGTGTAAAATATGTAACACGCACCTTTCCACTGACATCACATCATACTACCATCCTGCCAGCCGACTGTCCAATCAGCGGCCGAGGAGAGGCCCAGTGCCTGTGCGGCCGTCCAATGGGCGGATAGCGTGAGCTCTGCTCACCGTCACGTCACTCCTGATTGGATGGTTGAACTGTGGAGGAGGCGGGAGGTGAAACCAACCAATCCGAAGTAGTGCGTGTTTTTCATTATCATAAAATATTCAGCAGCATCCCTCCGACTGTCTGTGAGCAAGTTATCATGAGTTACAAAGGTAAATCTTTGTTTTGGCTCGGCTGGCTTGTTTTTGGAGCACCTGAGAAACAACATGAAGAGTCATTAATGATTGCATAGTGAGTTTCTGCCAGCAAAAAAAATCCGTTTCTCAGCAGTGCTTTCACCATCTAATTTTTTTTAATCATATTTTTTTTATATACTTTTTTTTTTAATTAAAAAAAGATGTGGACTTTCCTGGGAATAGCCAGCTTCACATACCTTTACAAAAAGTCCAACTCAGTCTTGGGTTTGGCTCACAGAGAGCTTGTGATGGCCGCAGTCTTATTTCTGACAGTCGGGCTGCTGCTGTCCTATGTCAGGTATTTCCACAGCCAGAAGCTCAGTGTCTCTCAGGTGTTTCATTTGCCGCTGAGCCTTTTGTCTTATGTGCCTGTTATCAACCATTTAATCCCCCAAACTTCAACACAGAGGAGCGAAAAAGCAGAGAACAACAGTAAACAGGTAAGAAAACTCATGTGGATACATGCTAGCCTAATCCTGTGAACTAAGGACAAAGACAGAATAGAAAAAAGATGAGTAAGCATCGTTTTCCATTTGATTTATCAGTAATTTATCATGCATATTTTTTTATTTGGTGATTTAACTCTTTGGAAAAACTTGTGGCTTCTTTTTCTCAAATTTTATTTCTGAACTAAAGATTTAAGTGCTTTACATATTTATGTGCATTCCTATATCCAAAGACTACAATTGGATTAAAAAAGACAGCTGATTATTTGATGAAGTATATTTTTATGTATTTATTGCATTTTCCAGTGTTTGCCCTACAGTCCAGTTTAGTCTGGACTCTACACTGTGTGTAATGACGCTCTCTACGTAATTGTTTCCAGAGCCGGAGAACAAGAAAAAGAGTAGACATAGAGTCCTCTGCCTCACAGAGTGCCTCAGCCAGTGGCCCCTCAGTGGCCCCGGAGCCAGATGTGGTGATAGTTGGGGCCGGGGTCCTGGGCTCAGCTATGGCGGCCGTCCTAGCCAAAGACGGGAGGAAGGTGTTGGTGGTGGAGAGGGACCTGAAGGAGCCTGACAGGATAGTAGGGGAGCTGCTGCAGCCTGGAGGATTCAAAGCACTCAAAGAGCTGGGACTGGAAGGTCAGTGACAGAATCTGCTGCTGTCAGTGACCTGCAGATGAATTCTGAATGTACAAATGATCAGGGACCTCTGCTCCTTTTACATAATAGTTCCTGTAGTTAAAGGTCCAGAGAACCTGTCATCTCAACCCAAGGAACTCCCACACTCTGAACACTAATTTTAGTTGTAGTTATATTTCCCATTAAAGATTTCTGTTGCTGTTTTGCTTGTGCTCTTGTCACAGCTTTACAGGGGGCAGGGCTCAGTTGTAAAAGGTGTTTCTGTGCACCAATCAGATGCCACAATATTTGGATCAAAATCTGGTGATGGTTGTTTGGCTGATGGATTATATCACTAGTGCTGTCAATCAAATGTGACCCACACAGTCTTGATGAAACAGATACGATGAGTGTTAAACTCAAAAATAAAATAAGACCTAAACATGTTTTTTCTGAACTTAAACTTTGATTGATGCTAATTTAGTCCTTAACAATAGTACTTTGCCTCAGGAATACTTACAGTTTAAAAATGTTTTTTTTTTTTTTTGGAATGTTATTATTATTTTAATTAATTAATTAAAATAATAATTAATTAATTAAAATAATAATAACATTCCAAAAAAAAACAACATTTTAATTAATTAATTGATTAATTCATTTTTATTATAATTATTTTCGTACTCTAATATACCCTATGCTATTTTTTAAAAAACTATTTATCCTTCTATTCTACAGTAATATTCCTGTTATATAGTAATTAATTTTCTGTAATATTTATGTTATATATTATATTGTAATATTTGTCCAATTGGCCAATAATTTGTTGGTAAAATGCTGAAAATCATGTTTTTATAGTGTAATTATAGTGAATATCATTTAGTTTTTGAATGTACCAAATATATCAGAGTGAATTCATGGAAAATGTGTCTTAAATTCATTCAAATACAAATATTTTGGATGGCATGGTGCAACCATAAACAACATGGATTTATGGGTTTCAATGTTTCACTCAGTGGTCATATCAGATCCGTGTTCCATTTTGTGTGTGTGCACTGGATCACATGTACAGTATGTACACAGTAGCAGACTGAGTCAATGATGACTGTGTGCTGTGAGACTGTAACCTGTTGCGTGTGTTTGCCCTCAGGTTCAGTGAAGGGTCTGGATGCCCATTTGGTGCACGGCTATGTGATCCATGACATGGAGAGCAGCACAGAGGTGGAGATCCCCTACCCTCAGGGGGAGGACAGCATCCAGTGTGGACGCGCTTTCCATCACGGTCGATTCATCATGGGCCTGAGGAGAGCTGCCCAGGCCCAGCCAAAGTGAGTAGAGTCATGATAAAAGAGGCCATATGCCAAATGACCAACTGGCTAATTGGATGACATTGTTTTTGACAGCACTGAGAGTTAGAAGGGACAGGAGTGTAATTAAAAATCTGTTGTTCACATGTTGCTAATTTTTCCTGCTCTACACAGCCAAACTACATTTTGTTTCAGCAAATTTTATTTTTCAGGTGGTTTAATGTGTTTCAGATTTATTTTTATGTCGAGGACCATTTAAACAAGTATCAGTGGTGGTTAAATGTAATTCTGTGTTTAAGAAAAGCAAATGATGGTTTACTGAAAAGGCCTCAATAGCTCCTGCTTAGAAATCAAAATGTAGATTTCTGACCATGTGTCAAACAGACATTTATTTTGCCTCAGTAGCTTACTCTTGTCATGTTGCCCATGCTGTTCTGGCATGTGGAGGCAATGTCTCTAACTGCCTAATATCGCCCTCCAGTGTCACATTTGTAGAAGGCAACGTGACCAGTTTGCAGGAAGAGGATGGCTGTGTAACCGGAGTCCAGTACAAGGACAAAGAAACTGGAGACATCAAGGTGAGGAGAGGAAACTCTGCTGCACATGTACAATGTTATATTCACCTGACCTCATGGAAAGAGATACTCTATTTAATGCAGAGGGTGTGTGATGACTGTGTCAACCTGTGTCCTGCAGGAAATCCATGCAGCGCTGACTGTTGTGGCCGATGGCTGTTTCTCCAAATTCAGAAAGAGTCTGGTCTCTGGGAAAGCTCGGACCTCATCTCACTTTGTTGGATGCCTTATGACGGTAAATACCAACAAGTGTCTCATCTCTCATCACACTGCACTGAATAATGTGAAATGACTAGTCCATCATTCGACTGGTCAGTTGACAGAAAATTAATCCACAGATACTTTGATAGGTGATTGTCATTTTCAAGAAAAAGAAAATAACAAACATTGTCGAGTCTCAGCTTTTAACATGTGAATCTTTCTTAATATCCATGTTTTCTTTGTTGTATATGAGAGTAAACTGGAAATCTTATGGTTTTGGACTGTTGGTCGGATAAAACAAATATACTTGTTTGGGGAAATTAAAATGAGCATTATTCACAATATTTGTATTTTTTATATATACAAAATAATTCACCAATAATTGAAAAAATAATGAGCAGATTAATCGACAATGAAAATAGTTATTAGTTGCAACTATGGAAGGATAACTAAACGAAAATGTCACTGAAATTAACATGCACTGACCAGAAGGAGGCTCAAAATGACCAAAAAAGACATTAAATTACAACAAATAGACACTAAATCACTTCAAAGAAACACAAAACAACCATAATGACATACAAAACCACATAAAGATACATAATGACTACAAAGAGATGCAAAACAACCTCAAAAAACATAGTGAAAATACGATGAATTGCCTGGGGCCCATTGTCTGATAATCTGCAATGGGTTGTTCAAATCTATGATACATTTGACTGTAAGTACTTGGTGGCATTTAAGTTAAAATACAATGTGTAATTATTTTGGGAAATCTCATGAATGAATCTTTATTAACTGAAAACTACCTTGAATGAATATTCTATCAATTAAAATATGTTTTTTTTCACAGTGGCTCAAGATATATTTCATTATCTTCATTTCTGAGTTATCACTGTGCTTCTCTCCAGGACTGTCCCCAGTTTAAAGCCAACCATGCTGAGCTGGTGCTGGCCAACCCAAGCCCGGTGCTCATCTACCAGATCTCCTCCTCTCAAACCAGAGTACTTGTAGACATCAGGGGGGAGATGCCTCGCAACCTTTCCGAGTACATGGCTGAGAAGATATACCCTCAGCTGCCAGGTAAAAGACAGATGAGACTTAACTTTATTCTTAAAAAGTCTGGAGAGTTTTAGTCTTGTGTAATTATGTCGAATGAAAAGCAACCTTTGGCCTGAGGAAGAACCCCTGTGGTGTGATAAATGATCAAAGGTAATCATGGCAGTGATGCCAGTCATCGTTGTAGGGAGGATTATCCAGGCTGCTGCCTGTACTGCTGTGTGTACTGTCAAGGAACCTACAGCTGAAGGATTTGACATTCATGGTGTGCGCTGCTATTCAGCTGAAATATCAAAGCCACAATATCAAAGCCCAAGCTCTGGTAACCTTGACAGAGGTCCAGCTGAAATGGCGGAGTCAGTCACACTGATACATTGATAAACATACATTCAGTACACCAAAAGAAAAGGCTTTTTCTTGTGCATGTGCCCAGCATGCACCTTTGGGTTTTCATCCACACAGCCAGCTGAATGATCGACCGCCTGCGCTCTCCCTTTCCCTCTTTCCTTCAGAGCATTTAAAGGAGGCTTTCATGGTGGCACTACAGAACGATCGACTCAGGTCCATGCCAGCCAGCTTCCTCCCTCCCTCCCCTGTCAACAAGCCAGGTACTGAAGTGTTATTGACTGCTGTGTTGTTGGAGATGGCCAGAGGGAATCTATTGAACTGATTTCAGCTTGTGTACAGTACGGTGCACGTCTGGGAGTAGTGCACCGCTTTGGTCATTACAGTATGATGAAACAAATTAAAGAGATTTCCTGGTTGTTGACAAATTGGCAATTAGTTTACACTTTGGGAAAAAAGCTGTAAAAGCTCTGTCCAAGGTTTGTTTTTAAGTCATCAATACTTTGTTTTATGGATGAATTCAAAATATATATTTTTTTGCCTGATAGAGCAATACTTACATTAACAGAAAAGTAATTTTGCAAAAAACACTTAAGGGGTCTCTTGTGAGTTAAATAAGACGATCAATACAAATTTCATATATGTACTGTAGATATGAAGCTATAGCCAGCCACACTGATTGACGACTGACCATCGACTTGGTGTGTCTGGGCCTTTAGAGGTGTGAGAAGGTGCAGGCCATACAATTCCCCTGTTTCCATTATTTGTGCTAAGCTAAGCTATAGAGCTGCAGCTAGTAAGCTTATCTTAGCACAAAGACAGAAAACAGGGGAAACAGCTGGAAGACTGCCGACAACCAGTGGGAAATCCAGGAAGTTACTGTGCTCAGCCAAGAAATAGTCCAGCACATAACCTTCTATCAGGCAGCAACATGGTATTACACTTTTTTTTTGACAGATTAAACACACAAATTTAATGTGTAAGTAGGTGAGCTTTAGAGACAGGTTTTGGTACCTTTGGACAGAGCAAGGCAAGCTGTTTCCCCTTGTATCCAGTCTTTGTTCTACGCTAAGCTAATTTGCTGCTGACAGTAGCTTCACATGTAATTTACCACATGGATATGAAAGTGTTATTAAGCTTCTTCTTAAACTCTCAATAAGAAGGTGAATAAGGATATTCCCCAAAATGTTGGACTGTTCCTTTAAGTTAAACTGTTAGTATGTGTTGGATTGGAGTTGTAATATCAGTGAGCTACGCTGGTGTAATAAGCGATGACAAACTTAAACACTCCCAGAAGGTATTAACTGTCAAAATCTGAAATAAAAGCACAGAGAAACACTAAAAGTCATCCTCCACACATCGTCTGGTTCATTGTGTTTGGCACTAATTGGCAAATTTTATTGTAACAAAGTGCTGAAGGGAGGAAAAAAAGACAACAACCGGTGATGTATTTTGGATGAGAGACAAACAGCAGTCTGTCGTTCGCAGGCGTTCTTCTCCTGGGTGATGCTTACAACATGAGGCATCCTCTGACGGGAGGAGGGATGAGTGTTGCTCTCAACGACGTTCGCATCTGGAGGAGTCTGCTCAAGAACATCCCGGATCTCTACGACGACGAGGCTATGCTGCAGGTAAACACAAGGACACTACCTTACCTTTTATGCCAACGACTCACAGTTCCCCTAACCCTAAAAGCATTTATGAAAACATTCATTTTTTGCTGCTGAGTAAGATGGCTGCCCCCTTTGCGGCTCTTACCTCTCCACATGGGTGTAATGGTTGTCTTCAAAAATCCCGGTTAATCGCTGATCTTGAACGCCGTATTTCCGACCTCTGCTGGATCCGAAATGAAGAAAAACTACTGGACTCTTTAGTCGAACTGGGAGCAGGTTCGCCTGCCAACTCAGCCGAGTTGGACCTCACCATCCCGGCTACTGACGTTGATCCGCCGGCCTCGGCGAGTGCTGCCCCGGCCTCCGTCTCCCAGCTTGTCCCCGGTCCCGGAGAGACTCCTGCTTCATCCGGGCTGGCTGCCTCGGCCCCGTCGCCACATCTCCAACCCGAGGACTGCTGGCTGTTGCTGGGTGCAAAGCCTAAGCTCGTGCCTGCTGCCGCAGTGGTTTCTACTCCAAACCCGAAGCACAGATCACTGAACTCCACACCACGGTATGAGTCCTGGTACGTGGCATCTGGCAGGAAGGCTTGTAAAACCAGCCGGCAATCCCCCTGTGAACTCCAACTGTCCAACCGGTATGATGCCCTGAGTCTGGATGACTTTTCGCCGCTGACCAGAGAGTCGGACCCGGTGGCTGTTCCTAAGCGGGCTCTCCACGCTGGTGCTTCCTCCTCGGCGGCTCTGGCTGGTGACCCCTTCCCGCCTGCCCCGGCCGGCTCTTCCCTCACTACGGCTCCAGCTGGTGCTTCCACCCTCGCGGCTTCAGCCGTCGTCTCCATCCCTGCAACCTCTGAGTCCCCTGAGCCGGGGCGCAGCGCATCACGCCCCGCTGGCTCGTCGGCGCGGCGCAGGTTGCTCAGGGACGCGGTTCCAAGCCGCAACATCCAGAGAGCACCCGGTCCCCATCGGATCGAAGTGAGGCACAACCGGCTCCCCCTCGTCCCCTCTTCCCTCCGACTACATTAATTGTGGGGGACTCCATCATCAGGAATGTCCGTTACTTCAACACAATCACTCGCTGCTTTCCCGGTGCTACTGTGCCCGTCATCCTAAATAAACTCCCGGAGCTTTTGCACTCCCTGCCCTCCACAGTCACCAGGATTATTGTTCATGTCGGTTGTAATGACACCGCCCGTAAGCAGTCTGTGTTGACGACAGCTGATTTTAGAGACCTTTTTTAGCTTTCTGCGCACCACAGGATTAGCGGTGTTCGTATCTGGCCTGATCCCAACACTGGCTCGTGGAGTTGAGCGGTTCAGCCGACTTCTCAGCTTCCATACCTGGCTGCTTTCTGCCTGCAGAGACTATGATTTGGGTTTCATCGACAATTTTAATCTATTTTGGAACCGCTATTCATTTTACAAGCAGGACGGAATACACCCAAACAAACTGGGCAGTAGGATGCTAGCTGCTAATTTTCAGCATGCTGTGCAAACTGCCACACCTACTGCACACATCTGACGGTTGTATATATGTCTATGGTTGTTTACACGACACACCCCCTTCCTGACTTCTTCCTCCCCGCCCCCCGTGGCTGCTCATAGTCCTGTCCTACTCACCACTGCCCCCTGTGGGCTCCATCTGCCATTGACTTATAATATACAACATAATCGGAAAACTGTATGCTATGATCACATAAATATTCCAGTTCTGATCAAGAAGACACCTAAGTCAGTAAATCACACACTTAAAAATAACTCCAGCCGCCTCACTCCTTATGTCACCACCTCAAACCTGGTTATGATTCCTATACAGCCTAATACTGTTGCTCCTGTTCCTTCTCCTAGACCCCCACTTGATCCAAACACCTTCAAAAGCAGAAATGGCCTAGGATTAATCCACTTAAACATCAGGAGTCTAATCCATAAATTAGAATATGTCAATGTTTTAATGCTACAAACAAATCCTGACATCTTAGTTTTGAGTGAAACATGGTTGAAAAAAAGCACTAAAGACTGTGATGTAGCATTAGAAGGCTATACTCTGTTTAGAGCGGATCGAGCTGGGAGAGGAGGTGGAGTAGCAGTCTATGCAAAATCTGGGTTGTCAGTGTCTGTTTTAGATTAAGTCACCGAGCCTAATTGTTTTGAATTTATTGCCCTACAAATCCAGCTGGGGCCATCTCCACAGGTGGTAATAGGTGTTTATAGACCCCCATCTGCTGATTCAGAGTCCATTGACTCACTAGCAAATTTAATTTCAACGTATGAGGATTCTGAAATGCTTGTTATGGGAGATTTTAATTTGAACTGGCTAAACAACACATCAGATAAATTAAAAGAATGTTGCTTTAACCTGAACTTAACTCAGATCATAACTGAGCCTACTAGACCCAATCTAAAAGACAATTCAAAATCTACTCTGATCGACCTTGTGTTTTCTAACAAAATTGACAAAATTGTGAGCAGTGGAGTTTTTGAGCTGGGAATAAGTGATCACTGCCCTACAGCTTGTGTAAGAAATGCCAGATTGGAAAAAACTAATTCACAAACAGATTTAAAGAGAAATTTTAGGCTCTTTAATGAGCAACACTTTTTGGACAATGTAGCAAATGATTTTAGTAACATTACAGCAGAGATCTCTGATGTTCAGGTGGCCCTGCAATTCTTTACAGATATTTTTATCCCATGTGTTGATAAACATGCCCCTTTTAAAAGGCTCCAAATTAAGGACAGAACCGTTCCCTGGTTCTCAAGTGAGCTGTCAACTTTGTTCAATGACAGAAAAAAGGCCTGGAATAGTGCTAGACGTTCAGGAGACCCTCAACACTGGCTCTCCTTCAAACAACTTAGAAATAAATGCAACTCAGCTGTAAGAAAAGCCAAATCTGAATATTTCTTATCTCTAATCACTAGCTCCTACTCAAATCCAGCTATGTTCTGAAAAGCAGTGAACCTAGAAAAAAGGAAGACCTCAAATACACTGACCACTAGTATAAGAACTGATGACTGTGTGATTTCTAACAGATCAGACATTTTCCATGCCTTTAATAAGCACTTTGCAGATGTTGCATATTCATTTGAAAAAGAATATCCTGACCTCCCGTCAGTTGATGTTGGTTGTTTGAATGCAGGTGACCACACTTTGTGCTTGTCCTTCTACCCCTTCCATTATGCTGAGGTTCTGAATGCACTGCAAGCCTTAGACTCCAAGAGTTCTACTGGAGAAGACAAATTGGATTCCTTCCTTATAAAATTGGCTGCTCCAATTATTGCTGAGCCATTAAGGAATATATTTAATTTGTATACATAATAACAGGAAAGTTTCCTACTTTATGGAAATCTGCACATGTAATTCCCCTGCATAAAGGAGGCTCAAGAGATGACATGAACAATTATCGCCCGATCTCCAAACTGCCCTGTTTGGCAAAAATGATGGAGTCCCTGGTAAACAATCAACTAAATTCATTCCTCTCAACCTACTCCGTACTTAGCCCACACCAGTCTGGTTTCAGAACAAATCATAGCACAATTTCAGCCAACACATTAGTCACAAATCACATCATATCAGCACTGGACAAGAAGCAACACTGTGCAGCAGTTTTTGTAGATCTGTCCAAGGCCTTCGATACAGTTGATCACAACATACTGTTAAGTAAACTGTTCAACATAGGACTGAGTAAAAGTGCATGTGCCTGGTTTCATGACTATTTATCTGAGAGGCGTCAGTGTATTAAATCAGGTGACACCAAATCAGACTTCTTGTTTATCAATAAGGGCGTGCCGCAAGGCTCCATTTTGGGCCCTGTACTTTTCTCTATTTATATTAATGATATTGTGTCCTCTTTAAGTGGTCGCCATGCCCATTTGTACGCGGATGACACCGTTGTTTATTGTATTGCAGACTCTGTACAGCTCGCTATCAACAATTTGCAACTTGCTTTTAATGAGCTTCAAAAATCTCTTTTAAATCATAAACTTCTTTTAAACGTAACAAAAACAAAGTACATGCTGTACTCCAGAGCCAGAAATGTTAACCATGAAACTTTGAATTTGGTTACTATAGAAGGCTCTAGAATTGGAAGAGTCACTGAATATAAATATCTTGGCGTATGGATAGACGAGGATTTAACATTCAAACACCACGTAAACAACCTTGTCACTAAAATGCAACAAAAGATTGTTTTTTTTTGTACAGAAACAAATCCAGCTTTCCTCTAAAAATTCATGTTCTTCATTCTCTTTCAGAGTTCAGGACTTTGATTTCTAACCATTGTGTTTCACATTGCAACTGTTTTACCTGATTCTATTCTATCTACCTGGTCACTGATGAGATTGTTGTTCACAGTGATTATTCTGTACTGATTTTATTGTGCTGTGGTTCAAATGTGTCTGTAATCTCGACGACATTGGAAATGAGGGAAACCTCAATGTCCTTCGAGACTAAATAAAGGTTTGAATGAATGAATGAATGAATGAATTTATGAAAACAGTTATTAAAAACTCTCTAATGTATAAAACATGAAAAACAAGGCCTGTGTAAGTGTATCACAGCCTGTAGAGGTTATATTTAGAGCCCCTACTGCATCACAGTTGCCTTATTCTGTTTTTCCCTCTGCTGTAGGTGAGAGACTGCAGACCAGTGTGCAATATTACACAGCTTTTTTTTTCTTCTTCTCAATAGGCAAAGAAAAAATTCCACTGGGAACGCAAGTCATCACATTCTTTTGTGGTGAATGTGTTGGCCCAGGCCCTGTATGAGCTGTTTGCAGCCACAGACAGTGAGTCTCTGCCTCCCTCTGCATCTAATAACACATGGAAAACAATGACAGGGGATCAGAAATGATTACTATTATTTTGCACTGTCTGCAATACTTTTGAACACTTAATGGTCCTTTAGATTCTCATCATGTCCACATGCCTGTTTTGTGTTAACCAGACTCTCTTCATGAGCTGAGAAAAGCCTGCTTCCAGTACTTCAAGCTTGGTGGAGAGTGCATCGCTGGGCCTATTGGACTCCTCTCAGTGTAAGCATTACATAATGTCCCTATCAATAACAGAGGATAATTTCACTAATATGGCGCGATAGAAAAAAACACACGTTTTTATATATATAGTTTGACATTTTGGAAATATGCTCATTGCTGAGAGCTAGATGAAAAGCTCAATATACTACACTCATGTCTGTAGAGGAGACCGGGATTGGTTGGCCCACTTCTCACTCTGCAATATTTCTCTGGAATAATTTGTTAGAATATTCCTGTCAGCAGCAAATGGAAGGTTAAGCTCTCAGCTATAAATAAATATATTGTAATTGCACACAAATGTTTTCTAAAATTAGGTGATTTGCGATTAATGTGATGACATTTGTGCCAACCAGCCCCATCTGAGGGTTGGTTGGCACAATGTTAAAATGCTATAGTTACAAAAATGTTGATGCAACCAATAGAAACAATTTGAACATTTAATTTAAAAAAGAACTAGGAAACATGGACGTTTAATAGAATATCTGCCTATTTTTAAAACCAAAAAAACATTTTAAGCAAATTATTAGCAGGGATGTCAATGTCAATTCAAAAATAATAATAATAATTAACACTATAAACATTGCTTTTAATCTCACAAAATAGTTTTAATGTCTAAGAATACAGTTACTGTTGTTCATATTACAAATGGTTGGCACATTTGCCAATGATCTCTCGGTGTGCCAACCAACCCTGCTCACATTTGACCTAACTTTATGATATTATGTAAGCCAGCCACCATCACTTATCACATACTTTCAAATAACAGCACACCATCTCTGTCTGACAGTTTTATAATGGGGTCATCCCTATGTTCCCAGGGTTCTATGTTTCCCACTTAACCCTGCAAAAAAGGTTCTGTGTTCCCCACTTACAGGGTTAATTGGGGAACATAGAACTCAGGAAACATAGAACCCTGGAAACATAGGTACGCTCCATTTTATAATACATTTAGCTCACAGACCACTTTTTTACTTTCGATACTATAAAACTGAAATGCTCTCACCAAAAAAAAAGTGTGACTTCAAGATGTTTTAATGTAGTGAATAAGTGGAGGTGGAAAAAAAAAAAGAAAAAGATTTTTATGTTTCATTTTTGTTTCGGTGATCTACAAAGGACCAGAAAATAGCTGTGTGCCAACCAACCCCTGTCTCCCCTACCATAAATATGAAGCACGAGCTGGCTAGCTTAGCTTAGCATAAAGAATGAAAACATGGTTGGCTTAGCTATATCCACAATTCACCAATCAGTTACTCAGAAGCTCACACATTATATGTATTTCTTCCCATTGCAACCTCCTATTGACCACAAGACTCCAAGAATGCTAAGCTAAAGCTAACATGTTATATCTAGTTTGTTAACTGTGTAAAAAATGATAAGTGTGGTTTTTATGGGGAATTATGTGCTTGACTATTTCTTAGACAGGACCAGTGAACATCAAATGCTACCTGTTTGTGCTAAGCTAAGCTAGCTGGCTGCTGGCTGAAGCTTCACATTTATTGTATAGACATATGAGGGGTATTGACCTTCTCATTTCACTCTTGGCAAGTGTATTTCCTGAAATGTCAAACAGTTCCTTCAAATACAAGAGACTTAATGACACTGTGATTTTTACCAGGTTGTCACCCAAACCCATGACCCTTATTGGACACTTCTTTGCCGTTGCACTATACGCAATCTACTTCAACTTCAAGTCCGAGTCGTGGAGCACCAAACCTCGAGCTTTATTCACGAGTGGGGCCATCCTGTACAGAGCCTGCACAGTCATGTTTCCACTCATCTATTCTGAACTCAAGTACCTGGTGTACTGAGGAGCTCTTCATGTGGACACAGAAAGACCAAACTCAGTGTGAGGTCTTCAGTGAACTACGGCTCAGGTGGAAACTTTGCAACAGAGTTGGTATTCGTCAGTAGTTTTCATGTTCCTTCCTGCAAAAAAAAAAAAGCACTGTAACCATAATTGTACAATTGAGGATTTTATACAATATGCTCCTGCCTTACTGAAGATGTCATTGTCTTAATTTCCTACCCAATGCCTTGTTTCAATTGGACATATTATTCAACAATGCCTTGGTGAAGCTCACTTAGAGTCTGCCCTGTATGTTAAAGGATTGCATTTGCAACATACAGCAACTTCACTCTCACCCTGAATTACACTGAATAATATTGTGGAATTAATCCTGCCCAACAGAGCTGCTGTGTGGAACATGGCATCTGAATTTTGTAACACTGATTTTGTAATAGTGCCTATTTTCTGCTGTATATTGTCCTGTTGAGCTAATTTGGGCTGTATGTAATATGGGAATCCTCATGTAATGACGATATATTTTACTACAAAAATGCCTCATTTTTAATCTGAAGCACTGATAATGGGATGTCAACCAACAGCAAGCTGTCTAAATTATTATTATATGCTGTATTTATGACAAAAACCTAGTATATTTTCAGCCTTGTTTGTTGAGGAAAATATTTGCAGTTCTTTATTTGTCCAAAACACACACACTCTTACTATATGGGTAATTTCCTGCCTTCTTGATGCTGTTGCTTTTTTTCATAATGTCAAAAGGGACTTCTTGTAACACTGTGGTTTCTAGACTCAGTCTGAAACATGCTGACGGTGCACCTGACAAAACTATAATTCCGGAACTCAAGAATGATCCCAGCACTATTTTAGTCCTGCTGGATGCCAGTAAAAACCTGACACAGCATGCTGCCTGGGGGAAGTCTGGGTTTGATGGGGGCCTGGGACAGAGGGAACGACGCTCATGTCAGGACCAAGTCAGCGGATGATGCTCAGGTGTTGTTTGCCCTGAGCTGACGCAGACAAGGAACTGATGTGTTTACCTGTGCCTGTGTTGGGCGTGATGGGCCGTTAAATAAATCAAACTTTTAAGAAAAGTATTGTTTTTCAGTTTTTCTGTTTTAATACAGCAGACTTCTTTGGATCATTTGTTTAATTACAGTTGTTTTAATTACTTAAATATTAAACAGTGGTCTATTATATACCAGTTTGACCCTACCAGACACTAACAAATACAACCATTAGATGGTGCTCACTCACAGCAGAAGGATCACTGTTTGAATGGAGGCCAGTTGATCATCCTGCCTACAACAGTGTCTCTCAATAGACCGGATTAAGTTGCTTTAGCATTGAAATTCAGTAGAAATATGCAGGAACAAGATGAATTCTTTAGATTGTAAGAGTGTTTAGAATAGGTTTAGTTTTAGGCTTCTGCTGCAGCTTTATGTATCTGGGTTAGAGCACAGTAGTAACACTGATGATGAAGAGGCTTTATGTTTTCCCAACTATAAAACAACAAAATCAGCTTTTAAAACACTTTTTTACACTGCACTAGTGTTCATTAATGTATTGTCCATTAATATAAGGAGTCTAAACAAACAAATACCCAGTGGTGAATCATTTTGATGCGTTTGGACTGTGTTTTATTTGGAAAAATCAAGGTTTCTTCAAGGTCACTCAAGTACAATCTGATCTTCCTCAGACACACAAACCTACAAGGATTTCCAAGACCAGAGGGACAGCGGCACAGGAAGGCTGTGTTTATGTTTCTCTGTTATTTAACTGGAGTCAGATGTGGCATCCTGTTTTCAAGAGCGAGCTGGCAGAAGAGATACAGACCTTTGGTTATTTCCTCCTGACTCCTGCATCTAAATTCCAAACACTTTACAGTCACAAAGCAGTCTCACTCCATTCTACTGGCTGAGACAAATCATTTTCTACACTCGCCATATTGTAGGATGTATGAAACCTGGGTTGTGCCACGGAAATAATTAGGGAGCTTCACGGTGTGTGATCACCAGCCGCAACAACGTTGTGACAGCTGGTATTGTTTTCACCTAGTGAGTCTGTGTGTGTGTGTCATCATGGCAAAACATGGTACTAGAGAAACCTGTTGTAGCCAAGTAGCAGAAACCAACACAGAAGTGGTCTGTCTGGTTTTAAGTACTTGACCATGTGTTTGTGTACCTGTCTGTCTGTCTGTCTGTGTGTATGGACAGATTTTGGCACTGTAAAAGCATCACAGCTGTGTCCATCATGAAACTTTACAGGTGTATATTTTAGATCAAAATGAAGGCAGAGTTTGTGGATGGTCTGAGCAAGGGGGCTGGAAGAAGGGGGGTGAGAAGTAGGGAAAGGGCAATTCCTGTGAAGACAACCTGCTGACATCAGCAGTAACCAGAATATGAGCGCTGTGCAAAGCAGTGGTGATGAGCTAGCTAACAGGATGCACACGTGCACTAAAATGCATGCGCAGCTGGATTGGCCTGCCACAAGAAACAACAGAAAAGCTAGGGTTACACCACACAGAGGTAGCATGGCTTTGTTGTCAGCTCAGGAAGCCACTACGCCACTTTATCTTTACTTTATAGTTGCTTGCTGCTATATTAATGCTTTGAATATCACAGATCCTTTAAATGATGTGGTATAAAAGTAAAAACCATAATAATTTTATGAATTTTGCTTTTTATTAGTGCATTTACATGTGTCCGCCCATCACATTATATCTTAGTTTGTCAACATTTAGTTTGCATTTTTATTGTTGCTTTAATAATTCAAATATGTGTACGCATTGGACGACTTAAGAATGAAATGAAATCCAACCTACAGAGCAGCAGCAGCAGCAGTTTGATTGGTCCGACTCCTGCCAACACTGAACAGCTCAGTTATTTATTAGCAAATGTATTGATCTTTTATGTCTATTTGCTTTGACTTTTACACTGCAGGATGTGTCCTCGCACCTGGAACTACATAGTTACAAATTAAGTACACACCACCAGTACTTTCACCTTACTGTACATGCTAAACCCCTGACTACTTGCCAACTCTATTAGGCCACTATCTGAGAGGATTTAACGTGTAAAAGTTAAAAACTGAGAAAAGAAACGTCACAAATTCAGTCATATCCCAGGTTACAACAATTAATTCAGCTTTATTGTTATTTATACATCACTGATACATTGTATTCTGGTGAAATAATTGGAAGAATTATCCATATTATTCTTTGTGACTCTCCACAAGGACACAAATACTGGTGTGGAAGACCAGGAAGGGGGGGGGGGGGGGGGGGGGGGGGGGGGGGGGGGGGGGGGGGGGGGGGGGGGGGGGTGCTCTGCTGGGGAGGGGTCACGTACTGTACACACTTCCCTCCACCCACCATCATCTGCCTGTCAGAGGTCAGTCTGCCTACATACCTACCTGGACCTATAGAGACTCACCTGACAGCCACACGAGGAGAGACACCGAGCCCTGCTGCCATGTTTAGCCACATTCAAACCCCCCACCCCCTTCCTACCTTAGAGTAATCCTCCTTTTTAGACACACAGAGCATTAGGGCATACCCTTATTGATATTGGTAGCAGCAAGCTTTCTACTAACAGTTAACATCTTAATGATCTAAACAAAAAAAGTACTGTACAGCTACTGCTAAGAGAATATAGGAACCTGGCCATGACGCTTTTACACCAGATTAAAGTGCTAGAAGCAACCCACCAATCCACACTTTATTATATATATATATATATATATATTTATATAGCATTATGTATTTATATATATATATAGAGGAACAAATCTACTATTTGAACATTAATTTACAGGGTAATATACATTATATTGTAACAGCTGAAATATCAGCACAAATAGATCACTGTCACACTTAACAGCAAAATATATATGATTATATAAATCCATATATAATCATATATACCAATATATAATTGTCATATATGCATGTAAAACAGTTACCACGTCTCAGGCTTTTCAAATGATACCCAGAAAAGCGATTGTGTATCAAGACGTAAAAGCTTTACAAGTTTCTCTCTTGAAAGAGTTGACAGGCAGCGGCAAAAGTGCCACGACCTGCGGGTATTTGAGGTCACAGGACAGTTATTTGCATATTCCACAAATCTATTGCAACACGTTACTGTCTACAAACAGTACAGCCAGCATCCTGCGAGAGGAGCTGGTGTTAGCTGGACTCACACGTACACCCACTGAACAGAACATTACGACGATGGGTGATCTGATTATAGCTAGGTGCTTTCAGATGGTGTGCTATGACAGTGAACAACAGGAGGACTACAATACACAATACTCTATAGTTTAGCCTCAGAAGACAACCCAGAACTGTACTGTAAAAAGACTACCCCCCGCCCCTCACGGTAAATATTCTCTCCTCTCTGAGTTAAGTGTCATCGTATCCTGCTGCTGATGAGTTTCGTATATTGTTGTTTTACCACAAATCCCAACTTTATTTTGACACTCCACCATCACCGAGAGTAATGGAATGTGTTCAGCTTTTGTCTCGATTCTTTAGCACTAACTGGGTCTCTCTCCGTCAAGGCTGACAGCACAGTGGGTAACATCCTACTGAATGAACAAACTTCTAGGGGGTCTGAGAGGGTGCTGGGGACTCCTTGAGGTTCTGTCAAGTTCAGATACACAATCTGGACCAGTAGGGCAGTTCTCTCTTCTCGCAGCAGTCCAAAACCTCAGGCGCCATCATCTTTGCGACCTCTCAGGTGAGAGGAATCCCGATAGTCCTTTCCTCTTCAAGGCCCGATGGTCCCTTCCCTGCTTCCCTCTTCTCACCCCTCTGATACAACCTCATCTTTCAGTCACTTCACCATCATTTGTCACTGCTTTACACACTCCCCCTACTCTGCAAAGACGCTGCACAAGGCTGTAACAAGATACACACAAAGGTAATTTTTCACAAAGAAAAAAAAACTCTGTAATAACTGCAGTAGTAACGCACAACAAGCATCCGATAGCTGGCTTCCTGCCTGGGGAGCCCTGGTGATGTGCAGTTAGGTTTGGGGCGTTGCCATTGTTCTAAAGGAGGAGCGCTCCTCGGTATGCCCTTTGCAGGACTTGTTTTTTCCCTGTGATGCAGTGTTTGTTATTCAAAAGCCCAGATCTCTATGTCCTGAACATAGAAATCCTCCTTTTTCGAGAGCATGGGGTTCCCAAATGTTTTACAGGAATGACTCCTGCCGTGGTAGAGATCTCCGTCCAGCCACAGGCCAAACTCACCGCTGAAGGAAGAGAAAACAGTCTTAAGCAGGGAAGCCAAAAACTATTTCTCCAGGTGGCTACATTCTCTGAAGCATCAATTTTAGGCAATTAACATCACTTATCTGCCTCTTTCATACCATTATTTTATTTGGTGGCTTTTAACGTATCACTAGATTTAATTAAAACATGTTGCTAGAACTGATTTCTGTCACTATATGCATCAAAAGCAGCTTGAACTCACCTTCCTCCACCAAAAGCTAAGGAATCCATATCTCCTTTGATGAAGAACATGTTGTCACCTGTCCATTTGTACACCTGTTGCACACACAAGAGAGCAAATATTAAAAAACACTGCATGACATGTTAAATATTGACATAATCAAATATATTCTGTCCAGTATTCTTTATCCTGAAGAGAACAGAACACACACGCATGTTTGACTCATAGGGAGGATCCAGAATTGACATCTGATAATGCAGTTAAAGCGCTTAGACACAGCCGAGGGAAATATCTCATCACCAGACTTCTAAATATAAAATGTCAAAATCCTCTCTGATGCACCAATGGCATTTCAATCGCTTCTTTGACAGACATTTTAATTGCCATTATTAAGGAGATTAATGCCACAAAGTGTAGAATTGTAATGCGAGTGTAGCATTGGTAGCAAGTTCTTTTTTGTAAAAAAAACAAAAAAAAAACAAGACAATCCTGGTGAAAATTGCTGCAGTTAATGTGTTGCTTTCAGCCCATTCATCTCAGTGTCCCTGGCTTGAATCCATTACGTGTAAATGCACTCAAGAAGAGAGCATAATCAAGAATGCAAGTTACAAAACACTAAATGCCACTGAGCTGTGAGGCTCTGGAGAACCTTTCAAAGAAGGAACAAGGAGACATATTTTTCACAGCATGGATGGGGGGCAGAGTGCATTTAAAGTGTCACATGCATCGAGAACAGCATGTGACTGGCAAGCATATTCACAGTATGCATGTTATTGCACAGCACTTAAGTCTCATTATTTTCTTCTGCTATGTTACATGTTATAATTATACATCTGGTTTAAATTTGCTATAAGTATACACATTTACCTAAACCAGTCTTTTTCAAACTCATTTTCAGTTGCACACAACAGTATTGTGTTAAAAAATGTGTTTATCTGCTCTCCTCTTTGATGTATGAAGTGTTTTGGCTGCAGTTCAACAGAAACAATATTTTTTAACGCAGTATTAATTCATATTCTGTTGCCACTCGGGGGCAACGGAACAGGCTGGAAACACAACATTGACATATTAAGTTGATATGGTGAACTTGTGTTTGCAGACGATTGCTTATTTACACAACCAGCAGACAGAGAGCAACATAACCATTCATTTGAAGTGATGTTTGTGTCCACCTGATGATTTTCAGTCCAATATTCACTCTCTTTTTAACTCTGTTTTTCATCTTAACCTCTTGAAGGAAATATCTGGCTCTAAATGCTCCACTATGTTCAACAGCATGTGTTAACAGGAACTGTACAATCAAAACAATGAGTGGAAATATACTAGAAATTCTGTAGAGCTGAGAGGAATGATTTGGGTGATAATTCTCTGCTGCTTTGTCACTACAAGTGACACTTTTTCCATTGCACATAGTAATGATTCATTGTTCATATCAAATATAGACTATTTCAGGCAATATGAGCCACGCGTACATCAGTTCTGCTGTATGTGCTCTTACTATATAGTATTTTCCAGATATTTTCCATCACTGACTGAATTTTTTGTAACAGTGACAGAAAAATCATAAGGCTGTTATTCATTTTGACAGATTAGAACACTGAGGGCGATCTACTGTAACTTTAAGTCATTCCCACTCCTGTCCAGTTGGTGGCGTGTGCATATTAATAAGCTTCTGTCTACTCATGCCTTGATCTCAAATGCATGACTTCATTGTCTAGCTCACTTTAGCCAGTAGGCTATATTGCAACATACTATTGCAAAGCGTCACAGAGTTGAGTGTCCAAAGTGTATTTGCATGGTCTTTGTCTGTGCATCCTTTCTCTCCATGTTGTTGTGTCGTGCTGTGGACGTTAGGCGCCATGAACGTCCACAACGTATGACGCTCTGACACTTTTGTCTCCAAGTTAGAAAATAGAATGTTGCGTAATCAGTTTGGACTTTGTATACATTTTGTTAAGCATTTGATTCATGACATCAACTGAGTAACATGCAAGAAGTTGCCAGTAGCTGCTAGTAGTAGGTAGCTTTTGAAGAGCATATTAATTACATTATTTTTTCAGTCTATAGCTTGTTAACTGTTAACTAGTACAGATGAAAAGGCAGCAAAACACCCTTTAATTTTATAGTTATACTCAACTAATGTATGCAAACTTGCAACCATGGGAACAGTGGTAAAGTGACCTTTAAAACGAGCCACATCTTACTGTGTACATGCCCACACATCATAGGTGCAATGCTGTACTAAAACAAAAAGCACAACACCCAATCTTATACGTGCATAATCTATAAGCTTGTTCTGAATACGAATTATAAAAAATGTAAATTAAATGCTATCAAATGTCTTATTATCATGAAAAAAAAGAAAAAGAAAAAGATGGGTAATATTAGATTATGACAGACTTTTTACAACCCCGTCTGTCAAAATGATGGGCAGCAATAAAGTCTAATGCAACCTCTGCCATAAAGTACACTGCGTATTAAAAAAACTGCACATCCAAATGTCCAACTTCAGAAATAAATTATGGAAAACAGAAATTCTTACAGACATTCTACATCTTCAAACTGAGGATGGCAGCATACCTCAAACTCTGGATTGAAGGTGAACAGGAAAGTCTCTCCTGTGCCATAAAAGCCGTCGCTGACTTTAAAGGGCTCAGATGCCAGCGCACCGAACACCTGGAGGCACAAAAAAAGAACAACAGACTTTTGTACACGTGGGATACAACTCTAACATCAACGGGATAAGTATTATAACATGATTAATTTTTTAATTTTAATTTTTAATTTTATATACTATAATCCCCGAGGGGAAATTCAATTTTTCACTCTGTTGTCAATTACACACAGGTCCGAACACACACATGCACAAACTGGACCTATACATGCACTAAGTGGAGAGATGTCAGAGTGGGCTGCCCATGACAGGCGCTCTGAGCGGTTGGGGGGTTCGGTGCCTTGCTCAGGGGCACCTCGGCAGTGCCCAGGAGGTGAACTGGCACCTCTCCAGCTACCAGTCCACGCTCCATATTTTTGGTCCGGACGGGGACTTGAACAGGAGACCCTCCGGTTCCCAACCCAAGTCCCTATGGACTGAGCTACTGAGCTATGACTCAGTTCCAGCATATTACAGTGTGCTACTGCTGTGTTGAATTACGTGAATTTGGAGCATACCTGGCCATCGCTGTCCTTAATGACCATGAGCACTGGGGTGTCCTGGCCCTGCATGGCTCTGTACAGCGTCTTAATGCTCATGCCATGCTTTGATGTTCCAAAAGCCAGTGTCCATGGGTACCCAATGGTCCGTGGTGGGAGATTCCTGGCAAGCTGTGGGAGGAAATAATAAAGAAAAAGAAAGGACGAGGGACAAAAAAAGGAGAAAGGAAATGAAACACAGAAAGGCCACAGCCACCAATGCTCAATTACATCTGTGGTGACCTTTTAACACCAGCTGGCGTTTAAAGAAGAGTAACAGGGCTCCAAACACACTGAACCATCTCAAGAGAAAGAGAGGTCCAGCACTCCCAGAGAGAGCCTGCTGCCCTGCTGCTGACAGACTGAAGGATTAACAGTGGCTGTGGCGCATGGGGGGATAAAGCCGACAAAGGCGCTGGAGGAGCGCTACAGTGTACGCTTCATTTTAATGGACAGATAAAACAGACACTGGCTAAAACATGGAATTAAAGTGACAACTTTTTTTAGAGTATGCTGCACCATTTCCTCTGTATGGAACAATGGCCTTTAAACGTTCTGTTCGCTCTCCCAGTAATTCATCAGACCCTTTGCTCTTTTTCTTGTTGGTTCAGCACATCCTCATGTGGCGGAGCAGAGCAGTCTTGTAATCAGCAGGCTGGAAACGAAGCCATGAGGAGATGAGCCTCGACTTGGCTCACCTCTGCTCTGCTGAGCTCCGAGCTCCGTCCTCGGGGTGATTAAAGGAAGCCGCACATTGGCAATCTATTGGCCAACATGCCAATTGGGACTCATTTGGAGCCATGCGGGTGTGTCTGAGTATGTACTGAACCACAGTGCCTGCAAGGCAAACACCACACCTCAAACATAAAAGGTTACCGACTCAAAAATGTCTGTTTCATGTGGTTCTCACGGGTACTGTCTTTCCTCTGATTGTATGGAAACTTTGTGAAGGTGTTATCTTACATTTATCAAATTTCTCATAATTTTACATAATTCAACATAAAAAGAAATCAAAGGTTTCTTCCCATCCTCTGCTTTAACCCTCCATACATACAACACAAGTTGTCACCTCTAACACTAGAGAACAACCCATCGATCATGTTATTGGTTTCTGTGTCTGATGTAAGCTGTCATCTGTTCACCTACATGCTGACGATTCTGCCTCTAAATGCGATTCTTCCAGCTGAATGTATTCCTCTATACCCTGGAAATCCAGAGTTCTCGCGAGAGCACAATTTGATTTTGCTCAGTGAGTCACTCTGGCAATCAGTAAAGATGCTCATTACCAATGCCAATGAAACCAAGCTGCACCAATCACAAAGGTGTATCTAATATAGGCGGGCCAGAGGCGAGCTAAACAGATGACGACAGCGCTGCGACGACGAAGTCCAGAATCAGTCAGTAAACAATGCAAGATAGCTAAGGATGAACACCAGATGTTTGAAACGGCTTAGGCCGCTACAATGAACGAGTTAGACTTGGCTTTTTCTCTAAAAGAGGAACAGAAGACGGCGCTCGAGTCTTTCCTTTGCAAGAAGGATGTTTCTGCTGTTTTGCCGAATGGATACGGCAAGAGTCTAATCTACCAGTTTGCTCCGCTGGTAGCTAAGCGTATACGTCACCCCTTGTATTGTTCTGACTGGTCATAGTGTTATCCCATTGCGTGCAGTGATATTTACAAATGCATGCTTGGTGCCGCCCCTCGAGTTGGGCCATTTTCATTACTCATGGCCAGACCCTAAATCTTTCTAGATTTGGGTCTGGATTTCCAGGCTAATTCCTCTACGCACGTCACGACTATTCGGTAGGCAGATGTTTAATGGTTATTACATCAGCAAATACATTTATTCCCCAAGCACACTGTTGACAAATATTCCTGGAAAGGAGCTACAGGAATGAATGTCTTAGGCCACATCCACACTAATGCCTTTTCATTTTGAAACAACGTTTTGAAACAAAAATCTCCATACACGCATGTGTTTTAGCACAGTTTCGGAACTGATCTCTGTCTATACTAAAACGTCTGAAAACACATATCATATGACCATTCATTTACACTTAGCATGTGCATAGTGATGTTAACAGGAAGCTGATTGTCCAATCGGTTGGTTGCTTATCTACAGAAAATACTACAGAGATGGCAAAAAGCAAGACCAGAGATTTCTTTTGCTTGTACTGACAATGAGGTGGAACTGTTACTGAAGCCTGCTACAGAAGCCATCACTAAAGGTATGTAAAACTAGCAGTAATGTTTTGGCTGGACATGTTGTGACTAATAGACCCAATCGAAAAGCGAATGTGGGTGTCTGTGTCATCTTTACAAAAAGTCTCCATTTCCATCCTCCAGACTAAAACTCAACCCCAGAGTTTTCCACATGAAATGGGGTGAGCAGCCTTTTCTTGAGTCTCTTTTAGGGGTCCAAAAACGTCAAAACAGTGTAGATGCTGGGCATAAACGTGGCAATAATAATGTGCTTTAAAATGAAAATGTATCAGTGTGGAAGTAGCCATAGTTTGTTTTTCTCATTTGAAAGTGAAATGACCAGCAAGCCCTCTGTGTTTGCATGTAAGCTTTCAAGCAAACCACATGACCCACAGACCAAATTATATAATTAAACATTTCCATTTTAAGGATAAGGCTAGTTTACTTGAAAAAAAAAAAAACACTAGGCAGGGAATTAATACACATTTGGCATCCAGAGAGTATTTTGCGATGTATGTGGCACTGAATCAAAATAAAACAGTTCCCTTGTTTTTATGTAATTAAGGAAAATGTCACCCAGCGCAACAATGTGGCTCGCTGATGTGTTCTTAATAGTTTTTGGACAACAATAGAGCTCTGTAGCATAGAGGAGGAAGATATATCAGGCTTTGGATACACACATTTGTTAGTAGAATCAATGGTATTTTCATGATTTGTTGGTCATTAGATAAGTATAGAAGAACACAAGCCTTAACCTTTGAAGATAGAGTAACATTTAGATGCACACAGACACATAAATTATATGTTATATGACGGGATTGCATCAGAACAGGTTTGCACAACTGTCTGTACCTTTTCTATCTGGTCGGCTTCCAGGAGATCACTGGCTTCTCTGAGGTTGGGTTTGAATGTTTCAGGCTCCAGCTCTGTCTTGATGGATGTGCCATGTTTGGAATTCACCTCTTCCTTGGTGGTGATCTATGAGTACAAATAAAAGTCAGATATGCACAGACACTGCCAAGGAGTCGTTTTCATTCAGCTTCCTTAGAGCACTGATACTGGATGGGTTCAATTATAGCTGTTTGTCATAAACCTATAATTTTGTTTGCATCATGACTGGCAACTCATACATACTGAGGCTGGGGCAGTAACTATAAAGAAGCTGAAACCTGAAACAGTATTTGGCTCAGATTGTTTTTACACTGAGTGAGATGGGAATAGGACAAAATGTAGGATCTATAGTGATAAAGAATGCAAGCAGAAAAGGTTTAATTTAACAGCTCTCAGTTAAGACTTGGGTGACAGAGGGTAACATGAAGAAGTTGGCCTTTAACCACGGCCTAACCTTAGCAACAAAAGCTCCCATTTTAAATCCAACAGTGTCCCTGCCAAAATTATAAACACAACATTGCTGGCAACACACTGATAATCCAAAAATTTGATGAGGACAGCTGAATATCTTCCTGCCACTCTCCAATGCCAGACGCCTAGGATTGGTTTGGCAGAACTAGGAGAGAGCAGGCAGAGACACTGTCTGGGAGAGGAGAATGTAAAGTGAATAGGAAATCAACCCAATGAATAATTTGCACTCCACTGTTTGACATTTTCTCTGACCAATGGACTGTTTGGGTTATTTATCTTTCTCGATAACAGAGGCTGATTGTAGAGCGCTTCATCACTGCTGGCTGGGATGCTCTCATGTTTCAGTCCTCATTCAAATAGGGCCTACCTGCATTGTCCTCAGAAAACATCATTCATCCTGTCAAGGGAGTCTTACTTCAACCTTCTCGTCAACAACCATCTCTTTGTCCTTCAATATTCTACAAATTTAGCTCATTCAAGCATCAAAGACAATATTCTATTCAAGAAAAAGGGCAAATTCCCACAGAAACAACCAATTTCTGTGTTGTCTACTTAAGATCTACATATTTGCCTGTAGCCAGTACAAACAGCTAGCATTAGCTACCTTATAACCAGACTGATCTAGTGGGTTATATCACCATGACAACAAGTCTAAGACGCAAAGCCTGACATTTAGATATAAGGCTGATGTCACATGAAAACCTCATCACTCCTATTGAGCCAAGTTTTCTGTAATGAATTGATAAAAGACATCTTCTATCAAATGCTTGAAGTCATTCACAATTGACCTCGTATAGCAAGTTTTGAACAGGTTTTTTGGCTCAAAAAAACCTGTTCATGAACACTCATGAAACCCATTACTTTTATGAAAAGTAACAGGAGCAGGTGTTTTGAGGTTAGTATGCAGTATCAGCAGCAGCTTAAGTTTGCTAGAGCCTATGGGAGACCATCCTGGTGCAGGCAGCAGGAGGGCTTGGCAGAGCAGAGAGAGGGGGCAGACAGGGCTGGTCAGGGCACCTGGAGTCGTTTGCAGAGCGAGCGCAGATCTTCACTGTTTAGCGCATCAATCCGACGGTGGTACTCCGTCAGAGACACTACCTGGTAGTACAAAGACAGGAACAGGTGGAACATAAAACTCTGCCAGATCTATTGCTGGCCATGGGAAGGAAAGCTAGAGTTTGGGAAGGTATTAAGCGTACCAAGTAGTGCGATTTCAACAAACTTAACACTGATCATATAGAGGTAGATGTCAGAAATTTGAGGAAACTACTTTGGGTTTAAGAGAATAGGGTGGGACCTTTAAGAGCACTCTGTCATTTTGCATGTTTGTGTAATATGCTCACTTATACTAAAAGTTAGACAAACGGATGGAGACAACACTTCAGCAGAAAGCAATCTTTAGAACTAATATATTTTTTTTTATAGCCAACCAAAAATGCAAAAAACAAAACAAAACAAAAAACAGTTGGAATGAGAAGACTGCTCAAAAATCCACAAGACTCTGATGCTGGAACATACAACAAAAAATAGCCGAGGTTCAACTGATGCAACAATACTTGCCAAGTCCATGAACATTAACCCACTCTCTGTTCGTCAGGAACAACTATGCACAAAACTAAAGCCCAGACAGACCAACACAATGACCTACAAGCATGGCCACATTCCAGCAAAGTTACACCCCACGCTGCAAACTCCACCAAGAGCTGCTGCCTCTGTTCTGCCACTGAATCAACGTTGGCGTGTAATAGTCCACTGTGTCTCCGTACAGGAAAGATATTTAGAGCCTTGTGCACGAGATAAACAAACAAACTCACAAATACCATACAGGCACAGAGTCTTATTAACTGGTCCAAATCTACATTTAAATAATTGTTTTTAGCATTTTGTCTTTTTCAAGTGAGCTATTTCACTCACCTTGTTGCTTTCGGTGTAAATAAATGTTGGTAACAAGCTGCCTCTTTATAGCACTCAATAATGTAGCAGAGTGGGGAAACTACAGCCCTGATAAAAAATACATATATGCTTCACTTCACCTCCAGTTGAAGGCACTTAAGTGCATTTGTCCCCTGAAAAAAGAGCAAGCTAGCAGCATGCTAGCCTGCTACTGACGTTCCAGTGTGAATCAAATGCCTTTTATCTGAAGAGATCAATGTCATGAAAAAGGTCAGCATTTGGACGTGACCGGTGAATTAAATACTGTGTCATACAGCTCAAGTGCTTGATTACCAGCTACTTAATAAGCTAAACACTCAACATGATATCTGGTACCGTTAACTCTGATAAATGTACGGTAATGTGAGGTTAAACAAACTGCTGAATGAAAAAAGAGCAGCGTCTTTTAACTGGCACCTCACACAGGAAACTTTCTGCCGGCTTACAGAGCCACACACATCGTATTACACAGTGCCAAGAGGACAGACAACAGATGAGAGCACTTTCCTGACTGCCAAACAGTGGTCAGACAGTGGCAACTTTGTTTAACATCAGTCACTGACCTACACCGGACCAGCTAAAAGGCTAGCGGGCTAGTTAGCTCCGCTAGCGAGCTAGCATGACTTGCTAACAACAACAACAACAGCAAGAGAACATACAAGAATGTAACGTTACATCGCCGGAGACTGAGAACAAGAAAAAACACGAGGAACATACACAGGTATACTTAGGGGTCAGTCGTTTCTCTTGGTCTTTCACCCTCCTAGAAAACATGTCTTGCTTTCAGGGCGAGGTTGAAGCTGTAAAGTCACATTACAGATCCTTTAAGTTATCCCCTGTAGCCCCGAGACAAGCAGACGGAGTTGGTATGAAGCCTGGCAGCCTCCTTGACTAAAATAGAAACATTTTTTTCCAAAGGGGTTTCTACGCCGTATGATTTGTGTGACATCGCCATAATCCAATTGCAATACGGGACAGGACACTAACCGATTCCCCATTGGTCAAAAAAAGACGACGGTCCCCTCCCACAACCGACAGGATTTAAAGATACAGTAACACACCAGTCCACGAGGTATAGATGTATTTTTTAGATTATGACAGACTATGACTTGACAAAAAAACAAAACAAAAACAAAGTAAATAAGAAAAAGAAAAAAAGTTATTGAATATAAAACATAAATTATTTGCTTTTTAAGTCTTTTTGTTGAATAAAAATCTTTTAATTAGAAAAACCTCTCTTTGGAAAACATCTATTTTGCTCCCTAAAGCTCCATGCAACAGCAGAAAGGTGTTGCTTAAAATTCAAACTTACAGTCAACAGGACAAACAAAAGCAGCAGGTTCCTATTTACTTATTCAAATGTAATGGATCATGTAGCCTCTGTTTGCCAGAGACAACAAATCAGTCCACTTTGTTTCCTACATCATTTATTTACATTAAAATTTAAATCCAGGCCACTGCTTCCATCGTATCAATTTCTTCATACAATGAATGCATCCTCTTCATTATCCACAGACTCGTGAACAGTCTCGTTTGACCAAAACCCACCCACAGTATGGTGCAGCAACATGGAGTAACAGAGCTGAAAAGCTAGATGGACACCCCTTGACTTTGTTTCCTGTTCTTATTTCCTTATTCTGTAAATGTGCAATAAAGAGAGCGTGTGAATTTACTTTGATGACAAAGGAAGACAGATTGAACCCATATCAGTGCCACACGAGTTTGGTTGATTTCATAGTTAAAAAAACAAAGCAGTTAAGTTGCTCAATGTCTACATTTCCTGCATATGTTGAGCAACTCATAAGGGTGTTAGCCTTTTGCCATTCAGCAAAATAAGTTGCCAAATGCTGACCAACAATATTGACAGTCAAACAACATGTGATGAAACTACAATACACTGACTGAGAGGAGTAAACAATTATACAAACATGCAAAACACTTTGGTTGGAAGCTCTGAGAAGCGCATTTCCAAGCAAAGCAAGTGCTCACACAACTTACGGAACTTACATGAGATAGAAAGTTCACACAAAAAGTTACCATCAAATCAACAAATACATAGACATAGACATGTACATAGAAATGCAAAATACAGAAGCAGAATACAAAACTAAGACTTAAGGACTACACAATTCTGATGGATTAAAAACCAAGATCAGCACAATAGATTTGCACTAAGCATTGCATAATGAGAGCAAATCAACACAATTATATCACACAAAACTCAACATAAAACAATAAACTTTACAACGCACCACATGAGATTCTGGTGTCACAGGTAATGGATTAAAGCATAAACCACACTTAATCCATATCTGCGAGGACTAAGACAACACAACAGGTGTGCTCTAAGCAAGGTGATGGTAGCAGTTTTAGCAGTGTACACCTTACCTCCCATTCCTTGACATTGAGGTCAGTGATGGGCTCATCCTCAGCTGTTTCTGACACTTCATTCTTCTTGACAACCATAAACCCAGGCTCTTGTCCCATCCCCCTGACCCCCTCACCGTACATGTCCGGGCTCCACTGCATGAAGAACACGTACAGGTGGTCTGACCTGGAGGAGGAAACGCAGGAGAAACCATGAGAGAAGAGGCTTGATTCTTAAATTGTTAAGAGATTTAGCAAAAGAAAAATCATCAGCTGAGATTCATTCAGTGCCTCTAAAATATCAAGAGTTGAAGCAAAGACTTAAAGGTAAAATCAAACTGTAAGTGACAAACATTTTTACATTGTGACTTTCACTTGATTAAGAATCATATATACGTTAATATATTGTGTATGGTTAACTGCAAGAAATTAAATAGTGAGTCGGCCATCTGATAAAACTCCCCAAAGTTTTAAAGGGACAGTTCACCCCCAAATAAAAAACACATATTTATACCCTTCACTGTAGTGCTATTAATCAATCTGGATTGTTCTGGTGTAAGTTGCCGAGTGTTGGAGATATCGGCCGTAGCCATGTCTAAACATTAATGGCATCCTCAGTGTCGGAAATTAGCGAGGGCCACGGGCCATTTGGCCCCCAATTTAGCCAAGAATGCCCCCAAAAACCATGTTCCAGGGGCCAAAATTGCCCCCAAGTTTTTGTCAACAACTCATTATTCTCCAGACGTCCTTAACAAGGTTGCGCTGATGCACCAGGGTGCTCCTCCCTACATAGCCTACCTGAAGCTGCCGTGCTGCGATGGACCATGGACCGCTACTTGGTTGAGCCACCCACCCACCAAAGTGAACCAGTCCAAGTTCCTCCACCAGATCCTCCCAAAGTTCCCGCAAACACGTTGACAAAGAAAGGTACCCTGCCAGCAACGATATTGAACTGGAAACTCGACTGGCTTGGTGTGGAAGAGGCGGCAGACAAGAAAATCCTCTTAAGTAAAGCATGCCGAGCTAACCCACCGAACCGAAACAAGACTGGGCTGAACGCTAAAGCTAACGACTTCATAAAAGGAAGCGACCAAGTAAAAAAGTACACGGCATACCGTCACCAAACCACAAAGCACCACCGATTTGCTTACGGTAAGATTTAACATTTGTATAGTAGGCTAATCTTACGTTTGCTCATCATGTTGAAGTAAATGTTAGCATAAAACTAACGTCACTGTATGCATCTGTCCCGACTTGTGAAGCGCAATATTTATAAATTATGTTTCACGTGTTCACAAGACTAAGCTGGGCCTTTTTAACAGTAATGCAACTACTGTGATTATGTGTAATGTGGTGAAACACCAAATTATAGCACCCGAACGGGAGTAACGTTATGTGCGAGAGGGAGACCCGAGCGGAGGGCAGGCTCCGGGGAGAGGGAGACCCGAGCGGGGGCTGCCCGTGGGAGTATGTGCGGGGCCTCCATGTTTGAGACGGGAGCGGGCGGCTGGAGGATGGACGCTCCCAGAGAGGAGAGAGTGAGAAATATAGCTAAATAAGATGAAAATAGAAAAATGTCTCTGTCTTTTATTTTCGTTTTCGGTGTTTAATTAAGGTGGGAGAGGCGGAGGGCGGCGGGAGGTCGGATGCTTCCAGAGAGGGGAGAGTGAGAAATATATCAAAATAAGATAAAATGGGAAAAACTGTCTCCCTCTTTTATTTTATTTTCAGTGTTTAATCAAGGCGGGATCAGGCGGCGGGAGGTCCGACGCTTCCAGCGAGGGGAGAGGGAGAAATATAACAAAATAATATAAAAATATAAAAAAACATGATTACTTAAAATGTTGAGCTTGCTTGAAGAGCTGGCTTCTCGCTTTTGTTTACACCCGCGTTCCAAAGATGGCGCTGATGCCCCACAATGCAAAGCGGCGTGACGTACCTTCACATTCTCTATTAGTACTGCTATCAGTAGATTAATGATTAAATCAACAAATTTAAACTGGTTTAATTATAGGAAATCAGAGTGATATTTAGCAACCACAACTTTAAGGAACCCATTATTATCTGCGGCAAACACAAGCAGATCTATGGGAGGCAATTCATCATCATGTTGTGTCGAATGGAGAAACCACCGCAGGTCTCCAGCAGAGGACACTGCTGAGTCTTGTTTATTTTATATCTAGTGATTTATACTAAAGAGTAAAGACACTATTGTAGTTATTTTTGCTTTTCATGTGCTTATTTTTAGAAAAGAATTTGATTATCTTATTTTAATAGACCTACAGTTTTTAAAGAAACAATCTGTTTGCATTGCACTGTTTTTAAGGTTTTGTGTAATATTAACAGGCTGTTAAGAGCTAAATAAACCCTAAATAGTTTGCCTACAGCTGTCTCCTGCTTTCTGTCATAGCTACTACTTGCACACTTCTCTCTGAAAAAGAAATGGTATGCTTTTCATTTATTTGCGTTGGAACTTGGCAGAAACCACTGTAAATTTTAATCTATAAAAATAACCAAGCTCTAACTACAGTTTTTTCCATGGCCCCATTTTTTAGAATGTGGGGGCCAAAATTGCCCCCAAAATATTTTGTTAATTTCATACCCTGGGCATCCTCCTTGGCAGATGTATTGTTAGCTCGCTCAGTGGTGCTACGTGAGCCAGCAGGAGATTAACGCTTACTTCTGTGTGGTGATACGGTTGGCAGGGTAGTCAAGTAGAAAGAAAATAGTTCCTACATGAAACTGCTCATAACAAGGTCTGTGGATTATCCTGAGTAACCGAGTCATGATTTCTGGTGAGAGACACTGCTGTTGAGTTTTTCAAATGTACTTTTTTTTTGGCACCACAAGCTGAGTGCCGTCTAGTTCTGTTATACTGGAGAGTCAGCAAAAATCTCTACGGCCAATGTCTCCAACACTTGGCAACTCACACTTAAACAATCTAGACTGATAAACAGCACTACAGGTAAGAGGAAAAATATGTATTTTTGATTTTGCGGTAGAATGACTTAATATTTTGTGTGTTAAACCATTCTCAAACAGCCCTAGTGGCTGTTAAGGAAGCATTTCAACATCTACAGGACACTGAGCAACATATTTTACTTTCCTATTTGCTAGTACTGCTGAGCTGTTAAAGCTGCTTTGCCTGTGTGACACTATGTTCTTGTCTGTTATTAAGTATTTTGTGACACAAGCTATCACTTTGTGTGTGTGGGTACACACATCGTCCTATAATAATGCATACATGAACCTGCATACATTTATTTTGTTGGTCCCTTGGCAGCACAAAAAGTTGTAAATTCAACATTCACATATTATCATATTATGAAATTCTTATGGCATATGGGTTAGCTATCAGTTGCTAATTTATTCATCAGACAAACAGAGCAACATTAGCATTCATTTGAAATCGTAGTTCTGGATTGCACAAGACACATGCTCTGTTTTGGTCTCCACCAACTCCTGAAGGAAATATAAATCTTTTTAGCTGTTAAATGCTTTACTATGTTCATTTGCAAATTGCTAACTTTGTCCCTGTGGTGTTTGGTGTTGAGTGGGTAGCAAACAGTGGATTTATCAGAGATTTTCTTGCTGTAATCAGCTGCAGTTACAGACACATTTGCTAAGAGCGGTGAGACTGAACCAAAACCTTTACATTACGATACCTTTCACTTTACACAGTCATTTGATACTTTAACATATAAACATTGATTAGAGCTGCTCAGAAGGTATAAACAGTGTATAATCAGTTTCCTTAAAACAGGGAGTTTTGTGGTAATGATCACGAACATGTCTGTCATCTTCTGTCGCTCTCCAACATCGTGACTATAATTTTGCCCTTCTCTGCTCCTCCCTGCTGACTGCTCATGTAACAGAAGCCTTTTCATGACAACCATGTAAACAGTTAAGGATATATTAAGACAGCACGGCATAACTCATGATTAAGTTAAAAACAAATACCAAATACAGTTTGTGTCACACACTGCTGTAGCTGCTAGACATGAAAGAGCTGTGCAGACTCAGTAGGCTGAGCTGTATTCAGTGTCATGGGTTGTGTATGGCTCATTCAGCGGCCTCCCTTTCTTCCCACACCATTGCCAGGACACTTAAAGACGCATCATGCGGGTCGCCTCCCATCTAGGTCATGCTACAGAGAGTCTAGCAGTGTCTGAAGAAACAACTATGAGCTGCTGTGTTTGTCAGTCTGGGTGGCTTTATGATCACTCCTCCCACACACCTTAGCCTGCTTGCAGTAACAAGAAAGACAAGTTCAAAATAATGAGTAGTAACCTGTACGAGCCCTGTCGTGTAATACTAGCTTTCACTTTGCTATGCCCCTGGGCTATCACCCCCCAGAGCATCACAGCAAACTTGTTTTCCAGGTCGGAAATGCTGTAGCTAAGCAACCTGTGGATGAAAACAATGCTATAAGAAGCAAGTCTTCTTAAGTTCATAATGAATAATGAAGTGAGGGGGATTTCAGTGTCGTTACTGCACTCAGCCACTCAACACATCGCATATAACCAAGAAGCATTTCTGGTACCATGACTAACTTTAAAGGACACGCCTGTTTGTTTGATTCAAATGTGATTAGCAGCCTGAGAGAGCACCATGTGTGTTGCTGCTGTAAATGTAGAAACACGTGTCCTGAAAACAGTAGAGGTGCTGTGAAACTCAAGGTTGGACAAATAAGTGGTCAGATTCAAGTTTATTATTTGCATTTTTCCCCTTATCTCCATGTCTCTAAAAAGATACAACAGAAAATCTAACTACCACTGTGGTGAAGCCAGATTTGGCTCTAATGAATAGCTGTTTAAAAGTAATTGGCTTATTAAATTAAGCTGTTTCTACAATTGGGATTAATTCTCCATATAAACATATTACACTATTTTTTTTCATGGAATGCGTCTCCTTCCAGTTTGAAGAGCTCTAACCTAATTATGATTATTGCTGGCTTGGCAACTGTACATCCAGATGGAGCGATCCAACTTGGAAAAACACATAAACAAGCCAAGGCTATTTTCAGTTAATATAAAATATAAATATGTGTCTAGGTCAGAAAAAGTTCACGAACAGTTTTGTGGGTGAAACACTGTCAGAGGATACAAAACTAGGAAACAGCATGAGCTTTGGAAACGTCCTTATTGTTGCATGGGTCGTGTGTGTGCCCCAGTGCAGGAATAAAGTGTGCGTGTCTGTTTCCCTGCAGAGTGAATGAATAATAAATCACTTTGCTGTCTAGCAGAGGCAGCACGGGGAGATGGGCAGAAGCCGCAGTGGGAGTCAGACCTGACAGAGAATGCATATTTGATTGGTTGTATTAAAAGGACTGGAGGTGAGTGCCTCAGTAACTCAGCTGACTATTGTGGTATGTTAGCAATATGCAAGGATTGCAAAAGGTCAAATCTCTGCAGCTCTCTCCATTAAAGACAAAGTCACCACCCTGTAACAGAGACTTCTATATCATGCACTTTGCTTTGTATTTTTTCCATTTTAAATATTGTTCCATGTAAACAGGTACAGCACTGGTATGATGATTTTAAATCCTGTCATTTCGGCTACCATTAAAACAATTTGCTTGTATTCAAAGGTGCAGCAGATGTACTGACCTCTCCTGCGGCACAGCAAACCAGTATTCATGCTTCTTGCCCTGCTGGGCATACTGCTGCATGGAGGCGCTGGCGTTAGAAACAAACGTCTTTTTCATGGGCTTCCCCACCCGCAGACACAGGAACTTATGAGTACGGTGCTTCCGCCTCTCTGCAGACCCTGTACCTGGAAGAGGAAATCATCACATGGTCACATAGGCATAAACATTTGTTTAGTTTGACATTCTTGGGAATATGCTTATCTATTTTCTTGCTGAGAGTTAAAAAAGATCGATACCACTCTTATATCTTTACACTATATATACACAGCTACAGCCAGCAGCTGGTTAGCTTAGTGTAGCACGCAGACTGGAAACAAGGGGAACAGTTAGCCTGGTTTTGGCTTTTACGCTTGTTGGTAGACAGATTTGGGCAGAGCCATTCAATGGTGTGAATCTCGACCGTGCAACCAGTGCACCAGGGTCCAGAAGATGTCATAGGCCCATGTAGGAGGGTGATTTTTTGCCGCTTGAAGAAATCAGGCTGTGATGGTTTGAGTTAAGAGCAGGCTGTTAGATTAGCAGTTATAAATCTGGCGCTTCGACTGCTCCATGCTGCTGATCAAAGGCTAGTTTGCAGAATGGGAGGGACACCCTCAGTTCAATATTTGGGGTGGGTGTTTAGAGGGTGCCGTTCTGCTGCAGTGTATTGTGGCCTCACTTCTCTGACAGGACAGCGAGCAGCAGCTCAGTGGCCTGGGGGTTTTGATCCCGGACCACTCCGACTCCCCGCCAGTTAGAAAACTTTCTGTTGATACTGTTACACAGGTAAGACTCAGTACTGCCACTGGCCACCAGCCTACTTTGACAGTTGGATTTTGGCTTTGATCTACCTGGACAGGCCTTACAAGTAGAGCCTGTGTGCCAGCCCAATTTAACCCCTAGGTGTGCACATCCCTGCATGTATTTGTGGACGAGCTAGCACTTGTGTTTTGGGCAAGGCGAGGACCCAAGAAAGACTTATTGCATTGGGGTCAGTCACTATTGTGTTACACTACTGTAGCCAGGTTAGACATGTCCCCTGTTTTTCAGTCTTTATGTTGAGCTAAGCCAAACTGTTGTGCCTTTATATTTACTGCACAAACATGAGAGTGGTATCAATCTGAACATCTGACTCTCGCAGGACAGCAAATAAGCATATTTCTACCAATATGAATCGATTCAAACAACAAACAAGTTTTGTTATATATCAAATGTCTGTCATCTAAAAACAAAATACATCTTCTTGATTAACTGTGTATGCTCCCTCTAATACTTGCTTTATTTATGTGACCTAGTTTTCTATCTTCTATTTACTGGCTGCTTCAGCTGACATTAGTTATTTTGTGGCAGAAACACAACAGATGACAGAAATAAATGGAGTAGCACATTATTACTGATAGTGGCACTGAGTCTCCTACCCATGGTACATTATCAATGGCCTATTGTAATGTCACAGCCCCAGGAAGCTGAATAAGACCACTGTGCCAGTGACATTACACTGGCACATATTGTCAGCTCCTGGTTGGACAGCTCAACATAACTAGCAATAACGATAGACAAAGTAATATTAATATGCTTAGGCAAGATGCTCAGTAGGAAAATTCAATTTTCAAAATGCATTAATTCTGTATTAATGCAGCTTGTTTTTGAGGTTGCTGCTGTTACTTGTGTGGGCTGTGCTAATGTGCGCAGAGTAATGGGCAGCCCTGCTGAGATCCCCATGAATTAAAACTGTTTTTGCAGCCCCGGCTCTCTGTGTGACGATAATTGCCAGGGAGAAAATGGTGAATCTCCTTCCTTCTGTCTTGGTCCCTTTCTTCTTGAGAAAATAAATCTTTGTGGAATCACAACTATGTGCCCATCTACAATGGCACACAAGTGAGCCAGTGAATGTGACATACGTAGTGAGGCCACTGTCAGATAACAAGACCAAAACTGTGCCAACCAGATATTAATTAGAGGATGCTGCCATGGTTTTGTATTTTTAGCCAATTAACTGCTAATTGCATAGTATTTGCCAGCCACTTTCTCTGGTGCATCTTGCTTTTTTTTTTAGTAACTACCTAACTTCCAGTCAGTCACTGCTTTCCATTTATTTCAGTACACTGAACATCATCCTGCTAAAGAAAAGTAATCCATTACAGTGAGCATTCTGCTACCTTTATGTTATCAATGGTGGTAATACAGTTGAGAGAATGGGCTGTTTTAAAAGTACTTGCTGGTGTGTTCAAGGATAATCTGACATTGTAATTTGAATGTGTGCCACTAAAGGAATTACTAAATATACAAGTCATGTTGTCAGGAAATCAAACCTAGAAGACAATGATGTGATAATATTAAACTAGCCATGATATAAGACTCTCAGTTATAGAACTAGCTACTTGATAGAAGAAATACAGTCATTAGTTAATTGGAGAGCCTGGGAAATTAGGAAAAATGGCTGTTGCCTAGGTAAACTTGAGGCTTGTAGCATTTGTTTTCTTTCTTCTTGTGTTATTTAGCGTAGGATGGACCAAATTTTTGGCTTGACCATCAATACTAACTACACACAGTTAGCATGTTAAACATCTACAACCACTGCTATGGTCCTTAAACGTGGCAATGAACACTACATAACATTAATTCAGGCTTTGGTAAAATTTGTCTTTGTCAAAATCTACACGAAAGCAAAGCAAAGAGGGATGTCACATATAAATAACACCTCTCTGAATGCTGTCTCCGAAGGCGTTTTGATATTGGGTTTCATCGTCACCGTGTCACCCCTTTGGGCATTAGGTGTGTTTGTGGCATTGTGGTGTTTGATAGGCTTTAGCTTATCGCCCAAAGGAGTGGCCCAGACCACCAGAGCCAGAGATCAAAGAGCTGCATAAAGCCCCATAAAGCCCGGCAAGCTCCGCCATGCTGATAACAACAGAGAAGCTGCCATTTCCTTTCGTCTTTATATTCCAATTACTAGCACCAAAGCAGAGTGGAAACGGAAAGGTTATCAGGAACCAACATGAGAGAAGTGATTCTGAGGCAGCCAGAGAGGAGAGGAACTCACTTTGATAGTCTTTAGAAGAAAATGGATGTAGGGTTGCCGCCAAAAGACAACATGAGGCCAGATTCATCACCTGAACCTTTTTTTCACAAGGTTTAAGTTTCCTACTAATACAAAGTAAATGTGTTTACCTTCTGCAGAGTTCTGCGTGCCCTCCTTTTGTGTCTGCTCAACATTCTCCTTTTCCTCCTTGCCTTGTTGCATAGTGTCCGTTTTGGAGACGTCTGTCCCCTCGTTGGCTTCCCCCTGTGGACTGGCTGAGACAGAGGTGCCGTCTATGGCACCAGGGGTGGCTGAGCTTTGGGACCCTGGGCGAGAGGTGCTGCTGCTGGAGCCCTGGGCCTGGCTAGTGCTGCTGCTGGTGGTGGTAGTGGGTGTGCTTGGTGGCTTCTCTGCACTGTGCTGCTTGGATCCCGTGGGGGACTGGCTATCACTTTCTGTGGCAGTGTCTGGTGGATTGTCCTCTGCTTTGGCCGCAGCGGGCTCTTCCGGCTGACTGACTGAGCCACGGGCACTGCCTGGGGCCTGGGACTCGGCACCTGTGGCCTCCACCTGGGTGACGGTTTGCACAGACTCTGTCGAAGCGCCGGAGGACTTGTCCAGGTGGAGGTCCTCATTAGACGTTTGCTCTTCCTCACGGATGGGGGACAGCTCCGATTCAGTGAAGACGTCTTCGGAGATGGAGCCCTCAGTGCTGCGCGGGGCTGTGCTGCAGCTGTCGTTGGCCCCTGGCTCCCTAAGGCGCTGCTCTGGGTCCTTCTGTTGGGAGGGATGTCTCTCAGCTGGAAGAGGCTCCAGGTCACTAGAAGCAGAGAGAAGTATTAAGACACTTGCAACTCTATTAATAATAAAGGAATATTGTTAATATTTTCCCTACATGCTCTACATATAGAGGCTGTAGAGAGAACAGTTTAGCGGTTATAGTCAGCATTACTCAGCTGGTAGTAATACTACTAGCCAGTCTGTGGCTCTGGAGGGGCTCATTAATGTCTGAGAAAATAACCCTGATCTCAACTTGGGCTTTTAAATATGTGTCTGTGTTACAAACTGAGTACATGGAGTTGGAAAGACGTGGGTGTTTATCAGGCATGGAGGGTCTAATGGGAAATACTATTTAGTTGCATCATGGAAAATTAGGATCTGGTGTCTCTGCTTCTGCTGATTTGATTTTGACTGTCTAAATGGTTGCAGTCTATAAATGCCTTTATCATAGGATACTTCCCTTCTGACCAATTACCTCCGTATCGACGAGGGTTGACCTTTTGAGGCTTTCACAAAATATTTACACAGTGAGATTTCTGATAAATAATCATCAGTAATGTGGATGTAATGACTAAGTGGGTAAAGGCAAATGATGGAACAGCTGGAACAGTCTGGTGCGATCAGAAAATGACATCACTTTACTGTGATGCAGCCTTTAAAACCAAGAAAAGACAACACTTACAATATTCAAAATCTAAAACAATATCTAGTCTCATAACATGATATAATACGAATATATTGCCCAGCGCTACTTTATGAAGTAATGCATAAAAATAAAACAGAGGGCTTAGGAATATGAGCATATATAGGGGTTCAGATCATACATATACACAGTCTTCATTGTGAACACTTTTGTTTCAAAGAAGCCACATTTGCATGACAGGAATGGTAACAAAAAGAAAGCAGAAACCACAGTCAAGAGTTAGATGAACTCCTATTGAGGTAAAGCCCTGTTGTTCCTGTCTGAATATAGCGCACACACAGCACAATAATCCCAAATGTACAGAGACTCTGCACAAACCCAGGAACAGAAATCACCTGCATGGACAGAACAGATGTCTCCAAATGCATAAATACTGTCACATCAACTTTTTTGCATTTTTGAATGATAGAATGTTTTTGTTTCATCAAATTTTCAAGAGTGATTTATAAATGATCATAAAATACTGTATCTCTATTTAATTTAATGTACAACAAAACCCTATTCTAACTGTACAAAGACACAAATCAGTGTCTCATGCCAACTGTCCATCTCTTGAAAACCTTTAATAAGGTTGCAAGATGAAATACTTGTATTCAACTAGCACAGAATCACACTCTGCAAGGCACTTGTTGCTCATCTGTGTGTTCATACAAAGAGAAAGCGAGAGGAGGGGGGGGGGGGGGGTCAGCAGAAACAAGGAGAGAGGAGACACAGACAATGGAGCACAGCTGAGGAAACAGCTGGCTCAAACACCAGTCATTTGCCAGCACAATAACTGCTCCATGGGCAACACTCAACCGGTTGAATACAGTACTGCTCAGACCCTGCAACCACCAGAAGACACAGAAATAAAACACTACACCATATTTCTCCTTGCATAAATTGTTCTTCAACAACAGCACTAAAACAGTTCAAATGAAGGAAAAAAGAAAAACACAGACAGATCTGTGGGAGGGAACACAAGTGACTCCTCTGAAGTGGCTGCTTCCCAGTGCATAAAGAGGTGAGCAATCAGAACGTAGGAGGGTGCAGGCATACTTCATTAACCCTGGTGTAATTGCTGTTTCCTTTTTATTTTGGTATGTGGGGGGAAAAGAATTAAACTGAAAACTTAAGATTGGTTGCTGATGCAATCTGACCGTGGGTGCAGCAGAGAATGACAATGATTATTGCGAGGTTGCTGCATTTCTTTGAGGGAGATAGTGGGAGACAGGCGTTCAGGATTAAATTGTGGGGAAAGATATAAAGTGTAACTATAAGAATAAGAATGTATGTGGGAGTAAATTAAAGTCAGAAGTCAGTGTTTACAGCAGCTTATACTTTAAATAACATGTGTAGGCATCATACAAGTCTCTTCTATCAACAACACAGAATATGTGTGATATATGATTTTTCTTACTCCGGCACAGCCTCTCTGATTTTGGGGTCTGTTATCTCCTTGCAGATGGCAGCAGACTGCACTTCCTCCAGGGGACACATGATGCCGTACTCCTCGCACCCATGGGCCTGAACCAGTGGGTCCATCCGGTGAGGGTCAAACATTATGTTGTTGGGTGTCACCAGCAACACCCCGCTCACCGCACCCTGAATTGACGCAGGAGAAAAGAGGAATGGGTTAGGAACAATGGGATCCATCAGAACTTTAAATACATAAAGGGACAGCTTAGCATGTTTATCTACCACCAAAAGATAATCAAAAGCACCTATGTCACATAAACAACTGGAAGCCAAATCAATTTGAGACCACAAATGTCCTAAATCAAGTAGAAATTATTGACTGCCAGCAGCGACCACTTCAGAGCGTTCACTCGGTACCTTGGAGTGAATCAGCAGTGGTTCAATAACATGGATCTGTGTGTGTGTGTGTGTGTTTGTGTGTGTGTGTCCCAGAGAGCATGACAGCTGCCTTGACATAGCAGTGTGTTGGCGCGCACACATAGACTTTCAGACAGGCAGTGATGGAACAGTTGGGTGGAGTCTGTGTGTATTTCAGTGTAGGAAGTCCTGGGTACTGGCTGCCATCCTGCCTGCACTGACTCAAAACTGACTGAAGCACAACACACAATCTGACGAGTGAGTGTGTGTGTTCAGTGGTGAACGTCCATGTACTGTATGTTTTCTTACTTTTGAGCTTGTTTTTTTTTATGTTTTTATTTTTTGTTTTATTTATTTTTTTATAATTGATGATATTTTGTATTATCCCTCTAAACAGCAAATCTTATTAAAGGAGCTCTATTTGATATTCAGAGCGTATCTATGATTCAGAGACTGTCTGCACTCGGCTGACAGGTGGCTGAACCGGCAGCTAGCAGCCAAACCCCCAGGAACAGCATCGAGCTTTGAAGCCAAAATGGCCAAACTGTGGAACTACTTCAGATCTGTCACGTGATGCCATGGAGCTCAAATAGACTTTTTCCCATGGACTTACATTGTCAAATTAAATGTCTGTAAATCCATGGATATTTTTTTGGGCATCACTACCCCGAGAATTGACTGGTTTCACTATTAGGATTTGATCCAGTCAGTCTGAAAACATTCCGCAAGCTTAGAAGACCCGCATTTAAATAATTTCATCTCCATTCAAGTTAGCGGAGGGCTAAATTGGAAGTTAGCGGCTCAGCTGTTAGATCTATGGGCTATACTACACAGAAGATCCAAGTATTTTTTTACTCAGGATGTCAAACTGTTTTGGCTTCATGTGCCACTGAGCAACTTTCATAGGAATGAACGGTGGCCCGGTCTCCATCGTTGTATCCAGTCCACTTTATACATGTTGTTGATGCTAAAATGAATAGTGCTAACGATGGCGCCAGTGCTGACAAAGCCAACAGTGTTAACCCTGGGGGTGGAATGTGGGGTGGGCGCAATGTTTCCACAATGCTTTCATCCTGAGATCAGTGGTCCTGTTAGTGCTGTATGGGGGATACGCACCAGGGACTCTCCTGCACTAAAAAGCACGCACGCACAGTCGGACCATGGACGACAACAAAAGAAGCTTGCATTACAACACACACAGAGGGGCTGTGACTTTGTTCTCTGCTCAGGATGCCATTACTCCACTATATCTGTTAGCTGTTTGCTGCTTTATTAATGCTCTGAATATTGTACAGAGCTCCTTTAAGGCCAAACAACGACACAATCAGATTTAGAATCAGATCTTAGTAAAATAAAAAAAAAATAAGAGAAGAAAAGAAAAGAAAAGAAAAAGTAATAAACAGTGATCTGAAGAGAGAGAGGGAAAGAGAGAAGATCCAAACTGCTTTGGAGACCTTTTAAGATCCTGGATAACTCAGTTTACAACACTTTAGGGAGCCACAGACTCCCTGGTTACAGGCCATCTGAACAACATTAACTATAATCAGCAGAAATTAAACTACAGTCAGCAGGAGAGAGACTCCTCTTCATATGCTGGTCTACAGGGTTATTCATTTCTGCCCACACAAGTGCCCCCAGTGTTTACTGTACTCTCATTTTATCCTCATCCTATGGGTTTCTTAAATAAATTTAAAAAAACAAAACAAAAAACAACAACAACAAAGATGAACTAGGATGCAACTATTTTATGAGACATCAGTTGCGAAAGATTTTAAAGCATTTTGGTGTAATGACTTTCCTTCGGAGTGCCTTGTTTATATCTGCCTTAGTGAGTGATTTCATATATTGCTAAAAATACCATAGAAGGGCACAGGTTTAGCAGCTCAAACAGCAAAGGATTATTATGTTTTCACAGATAGAAAAACTTAAGGTGGTAACCACAGACAGCACTGTGCAGCAACTGGATTCTGGTCTGCTAAAGTGGAGAACTTGGTATTTTTGCTGATTGGTTCTTGTTTTATGGTGAGATTGTGTACATCCCCAAAAGAAGCATTTGATCTTCGATTGCATGTGTGGTTCACAACACTGAACAACAAACAAAAAAAAGTAAAACAGCTTTGATGTGAAGTGAGTCTAAGTGTCTTACATTTCTTTTATTTCAATTCCACATCTACAGCCAGTCCTTTTGAAATATGAAGTGTGTTGAGCATCTGCAGCTGGCAGCTGAGATGTATGATTACGTATTTGTAATATTATATATTTAGTCTGATAACATAACAACCACTTCTTCTTCTTCATCCGTTACATTTAAGAGAGTTTTTGATTTTTTTTTGCAGCCGACAGTTTTACTTTCAACTACAGCAGTTTGCAGCTGTCTGTCACATGACCAGGAGGTTACAGGGTGATCTTAACATAGGTCTCAAAGATGAGTGTATCTTTTACACTGTATCTTACCTGGTCACCAGTGATGTACTTGCAGTTGATCTTGAGGAACTTCTCTGTGAGGGCCTCTTCCTCCTCGGAGGTGGATGACACCACTCTGGACTGGCGCAGAGCAGTAAACACTGGAGGGTGAACGCCTTCTGGTCTGGGGGGGCCATCAGAGTCCTTTGAAATAGAATGGGTGGGGTTCTGGACATTAGTATGGACTCCATTAGTTCAAACATACCTTTATAATACACATAATCTTTTAATGAGGCTGAACTAGTTTGTCCTTCGTCACAATAAGCAAAAAATTGAACATTTAAAAGTGAAGAGTCAAATGAAATTAAGTAATGAATCCCAAACTGTAAAAGCTGTGTTCTACTTTATCCTCCTGCCTATAAACAAATATCTGTACAAATGCATCATGCTGAAATCTCTAAATAGCATTCAACCAAACAGACTAAATAATAAGCACTGTGGAACAAGCATAGCTTGGTTCACTTGGTAATACATGGCGTAACTAATTTGTGCCTCATTCCATCAAACTAATGCGTTTGAGTCTCTAAATGTATCATCTATATATAAACAGATATTTTCTGCACAGCGGGACAATCAGGTTAAAAGAAACCCAATGACAAGCCAAATGAATGCTTCTCCTGTGTGCCTGAGCTTCACACAGGCAATTAGGTGAAAAACATTCAGAAGAGACTGAAAATTTAATTATTGTGTTTTTGGCACTACTTGATGCCTAGTTAGTGGTCAGGGGCGGGTTTGGAAACTGTTGAATCAGGGGCCACACTGAGGCACAGCTGCAAAGAGGGGGAGCACATTTATAAATGCATAAAAATGTGTTAAGAATTAAAAGTTCTGATTCTCTGTATTGACGAGCAGTACATTATCTTTAAATACCAGGACTGCCCCCTAAGAGTCAACTGAATGTTAGTAGACCACAAAGGTCATTAGTTGGCAAAATATCATTAGATGCTTAGCCGCAGAAAACAAACAAACAAACAATCAAAAAACAAAAGAACAAAAGTGAAACTCTATTAGGAGCTCCGCCTTGTCAAAATAAATCAAAAGCTATATGACTGGACCATGTGGCACTTTAATTTGAAAAGAAGTGGCCACGCTCAGCAGTCAGACAGGAGTCACGTTAATTAACAGGGCTGGTACCTGCGGTTATTACACATGCTAGTTAATAACATGTCGGGCAGAAAATCATTTTGAGAAGGTGAAGGACAATCCCAAGGTGATATGTAAGCTCATCTTCATTTGTCGACTACAAACATGACGTATCATCTGAAACATGCAAGTAGCTACATGTCCATTAGCCACTTAGCACAATCATTACTGCTTTGTTGACAGCGTCATTAACAGGTGGCTCGCTCAGTGTTTGATGTGCACTTGTAGATAAAATACAGGCCTATATTAATGAAGGTTCATTAGTACGGTTTTGTAATTCTCTGTAATGTAGCACAGTGTTAACATTAAATAATTAATTAACAAAATATGTAATTTAATAGTTTATTTAATATCATAAACATGCAGGCAACTAGAAGTCTAAATGGTCCTAAATGACGACTATTGGTGGACTAGGAAAATTCTTAGTTGGCAGCAGCCTTGTTAGATACAATGTTTATTCAGTGTATTTTAATTCATTTGAATGAATGAAAGATAAACAACTGTAAATGTTTGTTTATGAAAAAACAAATATAAGCCATAGTCATGGACAGAATGGGCCCCTGCACAGACACGTTTGTGGTCATTTTGCCTCTCTTAGAGATGGTTGTTTTAACTCTCTTTATGGTCCTTCTGTGTCTTTGTGGTTGTTTGATTGACTTCCTAATAACAACAAGAGGTGCAAGGGCCCTGGCATGCACACAGTTCAGTAATCCATTCATAATACTAACAAGCAAACTATCTAATTAGGAGTGTGAATCAACAGACACAATAAGATATATATGTATATCACAATACTCAAGTCACAATACAATATTACTGCGATTTTAAAAAAGTATTTCACTGCTGGAAGGAGGGTCTTTTCATTAAATTGCTCTGTCTGCACAGTAGAGAAATGCAAATACTTTTGACAGTGGTGCAAAGTGACCAGAGAAAACGGATGAAAAGGGTTGCTCAAGAGGAGCAAACCTTCAACTACCAGAATGCACTGCGCCGCACTACGCCAATAAACGCTCCTGGACTGGACTGGTGTATTCTTCATGCATATATTTCTTTTGGTTGGATGAGCGTGAAAAGTTTTTTTTCAGACAGGGAACCTTTTTTTGTGGCTGAATTTCTGTTTCTGGACTGAGCGGTAAAATAGCATGAGCTTTGGATGGTTACCACAACGTCATTGTAATGGTGTCTTGTAAACCCATGAGGGTTGGGCACATGTAAGTGTGCATGACACAAAATAAAAAAATCAATCAATCATATAGAGTACAGTACGTTAGCAAACAACTGTATGTACAGTTGAATGTTAACTGACCCAATCCAGTGAAAAATAATAATAACCCTATGATAATAACTATGTCTATCAATTACATGTAATAATAATAATAATAATAATAATAATAATAATAATAATAATAATAATAATAATAATAATAATAATACATTTTATTTATAAGCGCCTTTCAGAACACTCAAGGACACTGTACAGCAATAAAACAAAACAATAAAAAACAGATAAAAGCTACACAGAATGAAATGGAACAATGCAATTACAGAGAGTATGATATCTTGAACAGGTGGGTTTTGAGTCTAGATTTGAACAGTGGAAGAGAGTCGATGTTATATACACACATCCTTTATTCATTAGGGGTTAAATTGAGAAATCAAAAATATGTGGTGCCTTTAATAAAAATTAATCTATGACTGATTAATAAAAAACAGATATCTTCCCTCATAATAACTAATCTGTCGGTGATCTGCCAGATGCTCCACAGCCAAGAACTAATATGAATGATGTCTCAACTACAGTACACTGCTCCATTATACGTTGGCACACACACACTATAAAGCAATATTAATGAAGTAGCACTTCACAGAGTTGCCATGTGCTACAGATGGTGTGTCTGCTGGGCTGGAAACACAAGGTGTGGTGGGTTTGGTGTTTCTACCAGTGGCCTGCTGCCATGTAATGTCTGAGCCACAGCAAAGACTGACTGAAGTCTGTCTGAATAACCATCCACAGGGACAACTGTCTCTGAGGCATTTTGTAGGGCAAAGCTGAGTGTTGGTCTGCTTGACTGATCAACGCTCTGCAGGATGGACTGTCTGTGACACTGAGTGACTGCTGGAGGAGTCAGATCGGATGGAAAGATGAGAGGAAGTTAGGGATGGGAGAAGTAGGGATGGAAAAAGACAAAAAGGAAGTAGAGGCTGCAGCAGAGGCAACTAAAAAAAGAAAGCGGTGCAAAGCTGCTGTGGAGAAATGAAAAGACAAGGAGATAAAGACAGCTAAAGGCAATGAAAGAGAGTGATCGGAGTGAGGACAAAGAACAAAAGGGAAAAGGAGGACAGAGAGGAGTGTGTGGGAGTTATCATCAAGGGGGGGATTTTGACCAGGAGGGGAGGGCGTCAAAAAGCCGGTGGAGAAGTGAAGTGAAGAGCAGTGAAGAGCTTAGAGAAGAGAGCCCGAGCCCATAACAACTGTCTGCTGTCCTCCTGACACCCGCCCCCACGCCTCCCCCTCTCCGTCTCCCAGTGCAGTCGACAAACAGCCTGCAGCTACTGACCCACACCGACACAAGCAGCCCAGACACTGGCAGCCAGGGAAGGCTGAGGGGGCTGGGCCAATCTGTTACAGCCAAAACAAGCCTCTCTTAACAAGCAGAGGAGAAAGGGACCTAAAATGTAAAACGGAGATAAGGAGGAGAGGGATCGAAGCTGAAAATAAAGTTTCAAGAACATTCTTGAAACAAAAAAAAAAAAGAGAGCATCCCTGATCTATGAGAGCATCTACGGTTGATGAGTTGCAGATCTGAGGCCCAGCTGCTGAAGATGAGGACTGTGTAGGAATCTGAACTGGCTCGTCATCCACTTCAACTGAACACACCTCACCTACACAACTGCACTTAATCTCTCCACTTCCCGCTAGAGTCACTTCCCAATGACTCATTCAAGCCGGCCTTCCTGCTCCAAGGTTAAATATGAAAAGAGAGGCAGCCTTTTCACCTTAAAGAAAATAAAAGTTAAAGGGACAGTTCACCCAAAAATCAAACACGTATTTTTCCTCTTACCTAGAGTGCTATATATCAGTCTAGATTGTTTTGGTGTGAGTTGCAGAGTGTTGGAGATATCTGCCATAGAGATGTCTGCCTTCTCTCCAATATAGTGAAACTAGATGTTACTCGGCTTGTGGTGCTCAAAACTCAACAGCAATGTCTCTTTCCAGGAATCATCACCCAGTTACTCAAGATAATCCACAGACCTTGTTGTGAGCAGTTTCATGTACGGACTATTTTCTTCCAACCAAACTACACCCATCAACCATATCACTGCACAGAAGGAAGCATGCATCTACTCATGGACGAAAGGCTCATGCTCATGACAGTGTGAGATGTAAATGTTAATGACGTCCTCCTTGGCTGAGCTGTAACATTAGCTAGCTCAGTGGTACAAGGTGAGCTAGCAGTAGATACACACTTCTTTCTGTGTGGCTATATGGTTGGCGGGTGTGGTTTGAAAGAGAAAATAGTTCCAAAATGAAACTCCTGACAACAAGTTCTATGGATTATCTTGAGTAACCCAGTCATGATTTCTGGAAAGAGACATTGCTGTTGAGTTTTTCAAATGTAATTTTTTTTAGCACTTTGAGCAAGACAAGCTGAGTGCCATCTAGTTCCATTATATTGGCCTCAGCTAATATCTCCAACACCCAACAACTCACACCAAAACAATCTGGACTGATAAAAAGCCCCAAAGGTAAAATTAAAAAAAAGTATTTTGAACTGTCACTTTAACACTGACTAGAACACACCTGGGACAAGAGACACACACATGTCAACATGTGTGACACACACCTGGGTTGAAATGAGCAGCTGCAGGTGTCCAAACACGTCCTCCTTCGAGGAAATGCACAACAAACACCGTCTCCCATTCCCTCTCATTAAATCTGGCACATCTGAGAAATGGGTGTAATGTGTTGGTAACAAAATAACACCCATCCACATAAAAAG